ACAATTTTATTTGGCGCGTAAACATTTCAATTTGGCGCGTAAACAGTTTTATTTGGCGCGAAAACAATTTTATTTAATGTGCAGATTTATTTGTCGTCCAGAGACGCAACATTGTTTAAATAAATCCATGACTGTGATTTGCACCTTAACCAATTCCGATAAAGTATATTTTTATAAAGAATTTATAGAAAACTCGCCGTTACCTGTGCCTTCATCGATGTGCACGATGTGTCTTCACTGACTGGCATAAAAAGCTGACTATTTTACAAAAACTATTGAATGAAAGGTACGCGAATAGGTTTTTTAATTAATAATAATAGTATGGTGATCCTGCCTGTCCTGTCAGTATACGCTGACGGTGTACCAATAAGAAATTAATTAAATACTATTCCTATACAAAATTTGACAATTGATCGAGCCATATTTCTGCTAGTGCCGTATCGACCACTCGATCACGCAAAGTCGTGGAAGAAATTAGTATAAAAACAAAAATGTCCTTTAAAAATGCATGGTATTGCGTTATAATAATTACTAATATATTACAACGCTAGATGTATCTCGGAAATTGCGCCGGAGATATGAAAAAACAGGAAACAGTCATTATCTTGTTTTGTAAGTACCAATTATGGACATACTTGTTTTCCTTCGCGACTTTATCTGTGACCGAGATATTGATTGGTCAGGATGAAACATAATTCATGTCGCGGTTTAGATGGTTTACCAGAGGGAGACTGTACAAAAGTCAATTGCTTGGGTACCTATGTCCCATTCGTGTTTCAACCGTAAAGTAGTTGTGTTTGCAATGGTTGTGTTTCGGTTTGAAGGGTGGGATATGGCGTGAATTTACTGGGTAATAACACCTGAGTCCTCAGGAATGGCAACGCATGGGGGGTATCATGGGCGAAACAGTATACTCTGTTATGTTCATGGTACTGCTCATGTCTATAGGCGACGGTTACCACTTTCCATCAGGTGGGCTGTCAGCTTGTTTGCTATTCTAAGTTGTATAAAAAAAAAGATGTTAAGGCGCTAAGAAGTATGTATGGATGGGTTATATATAGCAACATCTACATATATATATATATATATATATATATTGTAGTTACTATGTCTACATATTAGCCCAATAACAGATATCTTCTATACTTATAATAAATCTGTAGAGAGGTCAATTCTGTACATGAAATATGTTTCCAAAATAACTAGCAGCGGGTGATTAGTGATCGATTACTGAAGTACTCGATTACTCAATCAGTAAAATTTTTGCCTGTCTGTCTGTATGTTCGTCATAGAAACAAAAACTACTCGACGGATTTTAACGAAACTTGGTACAATTATTCTTCATACTCCTGGGCAGGTTATAGTATACTTTTCATCACGCTACGGTTAATAGGAGCAGAGCAGTGAAGGAAAATGTTAAAAATGTCCACCCGTGCGACGCCGGGACAGGCCGCTAGTAAACTATAAAGTGAGAATATGTCAGCAAACCTTGGAAAGATACAGCCTAAATTAGAGTTGGCAATGGGCACATGACACCTCTGGCGTTGCAGGCGTCCATATGCTACAACGACTGTTCACTATCAGACAGGCTGTATTTGCCATTTTAGTGATAAAATAATAAAAAAAAATATAAAAAAAAAAAAATAAGAAAACATAAATAACAGATGCTTTTTCCTATACATCAAGATGAAAATGTCAATGGGGCGAACACATAGTGAATGGACAAGGATACAATTAAAATTACAAGATGGAAAGAATCGTGCGGCCAAAAGAAACCGGCGAGATCTAAAAACAATGGATAGATGACATTAAGGAGATATCAGGAGAAAACTGGACCAATAAACTTTCTAAAAGTCCTTTCTATCTAAACAAATATAATTACAGATTGATCCCAATTTTGAGTTGTTTCAATAGTGGCAAAAGTAGTTATGCCGAGTTAAAAATTGAAGATTGTGGCCCACAAACAAAAACAGACTTCATTTATAACAAATCCAGTTATTTTGATTTAAAAACTAAACTACTGAATAGATTGTGATGAAATTTCTATAGGACCTGTATAGGAATCTGTAAGTATTTTTTTTTAAATAAAAAAATAATTCTCCGAATGGAAGAATTTGAGAAGAGATCATAGAAATTATGGAGTTATGAGGTAACAAACATAAAAAACATACAACTAAATTGTAGATTGTCCTTCTTTCTTAAGTCAGTTAAAAAATTAAATAACTGATTTTGGCCATAGTTGAAGCCAGCGTTTTTTTTTTTTTTAAACAAAATCTACTCATGCTGTAAAAGAACTACAGGAGTATGATTTTTTAAATTGAATTCAAATTGATATTAATATTTAACTCTTTTATATCAGTAAGCATTCAGCTGGATCCAAAAAATGCTCAAAAAATAAATAAGCTACAGTAACTAAATGAAAATAAATGGATTTAAATAATTCAAAAAAAGCATAGAAGCACATAATGTTATGTTTGGTTTAAGATATTTATTTTCTTAAAGAAAATTTGTGATGTAGTGACAAAAATTGAAAAAGGAATGTTGTGTTGGTTTGGTCATTTGGAGAGGACGGATGAAAGAAGAATTACGAAAGAGATTTATCAAGCAAGAATGTATGGAGATGTCAGTAGGAGCCCCCCTAGATGAATGTATGTTGACCAAATAGGCGACATGCTGAAGAAGGGCCAAATTAAAAGTACCCGTAACAGGCGAGCGTGTATGAAAAGATTGATGAACGTGTAGGAAGCGAAAGAGGTTTGTTTGAATCGAAGCACTTGGCATTCCATTGTTTCTGTCTACCCTAATGGGAGACAGGCATGACAGATATGTATATAAGAAAATTTATTCATTTAAATAATACATTTACATGAGATTTACAAATTTTATAAATGTTGCCGAATAAATATATTTCTCCGGTCCACATATTTCTATATTTACCTAAAAGTTAATAATACATAAAGACATTAAAAAATAATTACGGCAGCAATTAATAATTACAAAAATCAGATAATAAATAACATTCCTCATAAATTGCGTGGTGACTATGGTTACATAGTTAATAGTTAAGAATATTTGACAATTTAACTGTAAAATATTTATTTTTACCTTGATACTACCTCGTATATTACAATTTTTATGTTTTTCTATTTTATGTATCTAATTACAGCGATAAATCGAATATTTTCTAAAAAACTTATATATTAATACATAGACAAAAGACAAAAACTTATATATTTTTAATAAGGCAAAATAACCAATGCTAAAATAGAAGATATATTTAAAATTAAAAACAACTTACCGGACTAGAAAGGAGTTTCTCGATATACAAATTATCAATAAAATTCAATCACATATAAATTGTCACAAAATGTTCCACCGGCATTTATTTACAATTACAATTTATTTTTAAATAAGAAATTTTCACTAGATATCACATAAACAAATAGTTGTTTACGCTTTTCTTCAACATACTCTGAATTTCCATTTCGATTCGTCTATTCGATTTCAAAGATTGCGTCGTTCTAGTAACCTAAAGCTATGTACGCACGCATGTACAAAATGCAGTGATTGAGCAACAGCAATTCGATGACGATTTTACATTTCATTATTTAGTTTCACATCTGTCATCCAAGCTGTCATTAGGTTTTTATATTAATCTCTCATACATACAACAATATCGCTTTCTTGTGAAAATCATATCATTCAGACAATATATATAATTGGCAATATAAAAAAAAAAAAGAAAATAGCCTTTATTTTAGTGCGAGATAATACAATAATTTGCACAATATATGCTCGAAGCTGATTTGGCGGGAGTATGAAAAAATTTTTTTTTTATTATTTTTACGTTTTGAAGTGTTTTGTACCTGAATATAAGATAAATAACGAAAAATCACAAAATTGTATATTTTTCATGTAATAATGTTATAAATATTCATAACTTTAAAGTTAAAATTATATTCCAAAATAACCAGAAATATTTTGTAGTAGAATTGAAAGAAAAAAATATTAGATATAATCCAAATAACGTTCCGAATATCCCCAAATCGAAATCAGAATTATAACAAATACGTGATTATTTGTTGTTTTTACAACATTAATCCCTTACAAATTCAGATCTGTCACAGCTATACATTTACAAAATACGCATACTAGTGTATATGTGTGTTATATGTGACGTGACTTTTGAACTTATTTCGTATTTGTAGTGCTGTTAATGAAGAGTTTTTTTTAATGGGTGAAAATGGAATGATAACCTCATCTACGCTAACGAGATACGCTGGCGGAGCACCATTGAAGGGTGATCGATGAGATTGAAGACAGGCCACTTTCACAAAGAATTAACCATGATAATTTCCAGGGCGACCCGCGAAGAGATCAACCTGGCTAGGTATATTGCTAGTAATGGGATTCGGAGTCTCCATTACTAACAATTCCTTTCCCGATGTTATTGCAGAGTTATAGTGCTTTCATAAATAATTTTTTTTATAATTAAAATTTCTTGTTATAGTGGGCTTATAAAGAATTAATAATTTTTAAGATAAACACGATTAATTTTTTTAATAATTGCAAAGCAAATTAAAATATATTTACACCACTAGTTACATTCTATAAAAAATATACTACAAACGTCTCTATATTATTAAAATCACTTTAGAAATCTCAAAAATTTGCTTTGTATATTATATGACAGTTTTTAGGTACAATGCCGCTGGTGTTGTGAGTGATCATGGGCGGCGGTAGTCACTTACCATCAGGTGAGCCACATGCTCGTTTGCCCCCTGTGTTGTAAAAACAAAAAAAAACATAGAACATCTCGTTACTGGTAATTTAATAATAATTTAAACTATAGAATTGGGACATAATAGTTCAAAACTCGCTAATCGTTATCAATAAATAATGGTTCATGTGAACTTGGCTTAAATTAGGAGTACATCAAATGTCATCTTTTTTTTTTTAATTACGGTCTTAATGCTTGACGAGGTAGTATCCGTTATCTATGGCACTAATATTGTAGTACACCCATTATTATAAAGCCTCACTTCTATTGAAGTTCAATTATATTCAGTGTTTGCTTATAGTTAATTACCGGTGAATTCGTCATGATATTCCTAGATGGCTTACCTAAGAACAAGAAATTGTCTCCAAACCTCAAATATTGTTCTTTACCTATGTCAACCAAATCTTTAGACTTTTTTTAAACATAAAAACTACTTGTTCTATGCTCTCTAATCATTGCTTTCTGATAGCAATATTTGTCAAGTTTATCCGTTTTATATAAAATTGTATTGAATTTATAAAATTAAATCATCTAGTTTCACCATTTTTATGTTCTGTTTATTTATAATCATATCCCATGAAAAACAATATGCGAACACAAAATATATATAGTGTAAGCTGTAATAATAACACTATTTATTATTTTGTACATTAACAGTGTATTCATCGGGTATGTTTATTTCTGTAAGTACTTATAATAATTTTATACTAAATATCTATATTGCACATTCTATTCTAAAAGTATCTACCTAACTTGATTTCGGCCGATCTTTGTCTATACTTGTTGCGGCCCTAATCCTACCCTATTGTATATATATATTTTTTTATAATGGAATGGTAGCCTCGCCTGCCCTAACGGTATACGCTAGCGGGGCACCTGTGAGGCATGATAGGTGAGGATAAAAAGGCAGGTCAGTTAATTCTTCGTAATGAATACACCTAAAATTCAGCACGATAGTTTTCAGGGGGGACCTAATGGGCCTAGCCTAAATAGGTTGGAGGGAAGGAATTTTTAGTAATACAAACTACCAATCCCATTGCTAGCAATAAACCCTGTCAGGTCGACCTCCATGTGGTTCTCCCTGGAAACTATAGTGATTAATTCTTATTCAATTGGCCACTATGGGCCAACTGACCTGCCTTCATCCTCACCTGTCCCCCTTCACTGGTGTCCCACCAGCATATACCGACAGCGCAGGCAGGGTTACCATTCCATCTTCACCTATTAGAAAAAAAAAACTCCCGCCTGCTGCACTATTAATATATGCTAGTGGAGCACAAGTAAGTGAGGATGGAAGCAGGGCAGTTGGCCTTTCATGAATATACTATACTGGAATTAACTACAATGGTTTCCAAGGGACTCCACATGAAGGTCCACACCAGATCCCTCCTGGAAGCCATCATGGTTAATTCTCTGTAACATATTCACACCTGTTACCTTTTCATTATCATCTGGTAAAAAAAAAACCTGTTATTCTTTACTCCTATACTGTTAAAGGTATATCAATAGTGCAGGCATTCCTTTTTATTGCAATCCTATAGAAAAAATTTATGATAGGATTAGAATTAGGAGAGTTGACTTCATCCTCACCTATAATCGTTCACTTGTACACTGCCAGCATATATAGACACCACAGATGGAGTTATAGTTAATTCACATCCTTAAAAAAAATTTTTGTTTTTAGTTGAGCTGAGCAGTGCCAACTACACTAAGATGTTCTCAGGAACAGTACTGCGGGAACAGTCCGTCAACCAACTGGATATGTATGTGACAGTTGTCAAGGAAGAGGATTTTGATTTGCCATCAAACATTGCTGTGGACAGTGTTAAAAATGGTAAAGCACATACTGATCAGCGACAGGCAGTTCTACAATCTGATGAGTTACAGTATGAGACAGAAAACAATAAACAGATAGTATCGATTCAACAGAAAGACAATCAGAAGGATTCAGTAAATGTCGGGATTGTGAAGAGAGAGTATGATGATATTACAGATGTTAATGATACATTACATGATGAACAAAATGATTCACATGAGAGATTGTACGAACATCACATAATCAAAGAGGAGTTGACTATTGGCCCAACAGTTATCCAACAAGGGAGGGTGTTTGATACTGCATACCGATTGGTACATTCTGAGAATCATGAGACACAGTCTTCTCAGACAGGTAAATACTACAAAACTGTATAGTTTAATGTGTGTGTGTGCATGTGTGTGCGTGTGCATGTGCGTGTGTGTGTGTGTGTGTATAAATTAATACAAGTATGAAACATACAAAATAAATTGAAAATTTTATTTTATGATGGATAAACTCAAAAACTACTCAAATAATTTTAAAAATTATTTCATATATCTATTTCTATATTATATATACTTTTACGAATCAAGAAAGAAATAATGTTTTTATATTGATAAATAAATTATTATTATACAATGCTTACATTAAAAAATACTTAAATAAAAATATTTCTTTATTTCTACACTATATGCTGCACAAAATTGTGTAATTTTGTTATATATTTTTTTATGTTTGTTACCTCTCTAACTTCATCATTTATTGACATTAACTGATTTAGAAAATTAGGTTTTATTTGAAAATTAAAAGTCAGTGCAGCAGTTTAATTTTTGAATCAAAATAACTGGTTTTCACACGATTAGAATCTGTGATGTCTACTGACTTAAAAAAAGAAGGAGTTCCTGGATTCAGTTGTAATTTTTTGTAAAACTAATTCTCACATTGTGTAACTTAATATATATTAATTACAGATGCTCTTCTCCAATCCATGCGCCAGGTAAGGATACTGATATCGGATAAAATATACATATGTGATATATGCAAAAAAGGATTTGAATCATATAAAAAAATATTATCTCATATGTCAGTTCATATTAAAAGAAAAACATGTTCGTATAAAGTTTGTAAGAAAGAACGTCAAATGAAATCACATGTTAAAGCGAACATGCGTGCGTGTAAAAAGTTTTATATTTGTCATGTGTGTAAAAAAAGTTTTATGACACAAACATCTTTTAAAACACATATGCGTATGCATCCTGGTGAAGAAGCATACAGTTGTAATGTGTGCCAAGAAGGTTTTACTTCACAAACAAATTTGAACAAACATAAAACTATTCATGCCAGAGCAAAGCGGTATACATGTAATAAGTGTAAAATGTTTTTCCACCGTAAATTGTCTTTGAAAAAACATATGCGTTTACACACTGTGGAAAATGAATATATTTGTGATATATGTAAACAATCTTTTAAATCTAAAGCAGTATTGATAACGCATATTCGTAGTCATCCTGTTGATAACGCATACAGTTGTGATTTGTGTAAAAAAAAATTTGCATCGCGATCAGCGTTGAAGAATCATATACTGCGTCATATTGGTGTAAAGTCGTACAAGTGTAATGAGTGTGGCAAAAGTTATTTTACGGAATCATCATTAAAATCGCATACACTAATTCATACTGGCGAAAAGATTAATTGCAATATATGTAAAAAAAGTTTTAACTGTAAATCGAATATGTTAAGTCACATGCGTACGCATACTGGTAAAAATATTCACAATTGTAACGTGTGTAAAAAATCTTTTACAATGAAATCATCTGTTGTAACACATATGCGTTTTCACACTGGTGAAAAACCGTACAATTGTGATGTATGTAAAAAATGTTTCTATACAGAATCACATTTGAATAATCACAAATGTATTCATGGTGATGATAAGCCGTATAAATGCGATATGTGTAATAAATATTTTAATACAATATCAATTTTAAAAAAACACATGATTACACACTCTAATAAGAAACGATATGAATGTAACGTGTGTCAAAAGACATACTGTCGAAAATTTAATTTAACAAGACACATGCAAAACACACACTCTGTTAGAAGACAGTTGAAATGTGATTTGTGTAAAATAATGTTTCCTACAGCATCAGCATTGAAAAGCCACATGTCTAGTCATACAAATACAAAGCCATTTAGCTGCAAAGTGTGTAAAAAAACTTATTGTTACGAATCAATTTTTTTAACACACAAATGCATTCCTTTTGGTGAAAAATTGTTTAGTTGTGAAGTGTGTAAAAAAAGTTTTCGTATACAGGCTGATCTAAAAAAACATATGCTCGTTCATAGTGATACAAAGCCATATAGTTGTGATGTGTGTAAGAAATGTTTTCGCCTGAAACCAGATATGAATGTACACATGCGCATTCATACTGGTGAAAGGCCATATTGCTGTGATGTGTGTAAAAAAAGTTTTACTACTAAATCTGATCTGAAAGTACACATACATGCCCATACTGGTGAAAGGCCATACAGTTGTGAAATTTGTAAAAAATCTTTCTCTTATAAAGCATATTTGAAGAAACACATTCGTTTTCATACTGGTGATAAACGACACAAGTGTGATGTTTGTGAAAAGAGTTTTTTTGTGGGCTCAGATTTGAGAGTACACAAGCTACTTCACACTGGTGAATTGCCATACAGTTGTGATATGTGCAACAAACGTTTTAGGTCGGGTAAAAAATTGAAAGCGCACATTTTAATCCATACCCATGAGAAATCGTGTAGCTGTCTTGTGTGTGGACGGGCTTTCAGGACAATGTCATTGTTGAAATATCACATGCGTGAACATAGTGATAATAAGCCGTTTAAATGTGATGTATGCAATGAATCTTTCGTTAAAAGGTCCATTTTGATGAAACACATGTACAAAATTCATAATTACGAAAAACCGTACAATTGCGATGTGTGTAACAAAAAATTTTCCACGGTAGGTGAGTTGAATGGGCACACGATTTTTCACAGTGGTGTAAAAAGGTACGAGTGCGAAGTGTGCAAGAAGCGTTGGTCCACGTCGTCGGATTTACAAAAACACATCCGTGTTCATACTGGCGAGAAGCCGTACTGTTGTAGTGTGTGTCGGAAACGTTTCACTACGTGCTCGGCTTTGCGTAAACACGCGCGTATACACACTGGTGAAAACCCTTATAGTTGTGAGATTTGTAAAAAAACATTTTCCGTTGAGGTTGTGTTAAAAAATCACATTGCTACTCACACTGGCGTACGCCCGTACAATTGTGACACATGCAAAAAAACTTACATTACAAAATCACAATTAGACGTTCACATGCGCGTTCATACAGGTCATAATTTGTATGCTTGCGATGTATGTGAAAAAAGTTTCAAGTCGAAAAGTTACTTGAATGCACACACACGCAACCATACTGGTGAGAAACCGTTTATTTGTGATATATGTAAAAAGACATTCTCCAGCAAACAATTTATAGTACGACACATACGAACACACACTGGTGAGAAGCCGCACTGTTGTAAAATTTGTAATAAAAGTTTCGGTAGAAGATCAAGTATGAAACGACACATTATACACATTCATATTGGTGGAAAACCGTCTTAATATCAGATATTGGTACATACTTAAAAAAGAAAAGAATACATATTAAAAAAAAAAAAAAAAAACAAAGCGAAAGCACTTTAAAGAGGTAACATAAAGTAACATAAGTTGCCAGTACTTCTCACGCTAGGCAACCGTAGTGAGGCTTTCGTGATATTTTAAGGAGGCTGCTGCCCATGCCTCGGTCATTAATTCCTCTTAGTCGTCTCTTACGACACCCACGGGAAAGGAAGAGGTGAACTATTCCATTCCGGGACCACTCTGCAAATTTTTAAGTATTTTATACCTATTTTTTAAGTATTGTATATTTATATATTAAATGTTTTGTTAATTTAATTTTTATTAATAAAAATCAATTGTCCAATGTATGTAATTGTAACACTTCAGAACGCCTGCATGTTTGATTAAACCTTTTTTTTTATAATTGTCAGAACAAGATTTATATAAAAAAAAAATGTTCGAAGTCGTATGGAAATGTGAAAAATTTTGGTTAATAAATCTCCATTTAAAAATTTGTTTTTTTTTTTTTAAACGACAAAGGAGGCAACCCAGCATACAGCCCGTCTGATGGTGAACGGTCACTGTAGCTTAAGGACGCTTGCAATACCAGGGGTGTCCATTGCTGGCAAAAGAGCAGTTAGACCCCATTACTAACATTCCCTTTCCCCCCTACCCTTAAGCATGGTATCGTTCCTCATCTTTCACATCACATTTGTAAAAAAAAAAACAAAGACATTTGATTCAGTAATCTTTTTTATTGTCAACTCTTAGACGTTATTATCATTGGCGTATTTAAGACTATTATTCGAGGGGGTCTGACCCCTTAAAAAGAGCACATAGATAGATATATAATTTATTTGCATTACTTACATCACACAAATAACATTAGATATTGGTACATACATAAAAAACATAATACAAAAAAAAAAATAAAGTACATAAAAGAGGTTACACAATTTCTCGTGAGTGCGTCAAAGTAACGCAAAATGGTCACAACTCGATTTATTTCTTTGCCCTCAAAAGATCAAAACGCTGATATTCTGTTGTGGTCATTGCGGCCAAGTGATCTCGGACATGTCTGTATTGTTTATGCCTTAAGGTGCCCCCTCCCCCCCTCCTCAAATACGCCTACGCCTCAATACGCCTATTATAACAGTATGAGTATTGATTGACAAATTATTTACTTTTTTTTACATATTATTTATAGTGCTAACGTTTGTTAGCACTGATTTTTTGGTAGATTTTAAACTAACCAAATATGCTATTTTCCTCAAATGTACTAGAGTTACTTTGAACCACAGATTATGACGTAGTACATTAAACAGTCTATGAGTCCAAAGGGAGACTTTGTACAAAATTCGATTGCTTGGGTACCTCTGTCCCATTCGTGTTTCAACCGTGAAGCAGTATGGGGTATAGCGTGAATTTACAGGGTATAGAGGAATCTCAAGAATGGCAACGCATGGGGGGTATCATGGGCGAAACAATATACTCTGTTATGTCCATGGTACTGCTCATGTCTATAGGCGACGGTTACCACTTTCCATCAGGTGGGCTGTCAGCTTGTTTGCCATTCTAAGTTGTATAAAAAAAAAAATGGTTTGAACATTGTTCTGAAATGCAATCCTTCAATGTTATAGTGCAACTAGGTACCCGGCCCGGCTTCGCTCGGGTAGACAGAATTTTTAAAAATATTGTATCACTTTACTCACTGATATAATAGGGTCGATTCTGAGGTGCCTTCATTCTAAATTTCTCTTCTTAATCAAATATTTTAATTTGTAAATTTTGGGAAATTACTATTTTATGGACCAATGCAAAGCTATTACAAAATTAATTCATATTGGGTCTTATCATTAATACATAAGCACTGTGGTCAGAGAAATTGTTCAATATGATGTCCACCAACACTTTCTACCAACGTACAGCTCGTCATTGACAGGGAGTTTTTTTAATGGGTGATAATGGAATGGTAACCCCGCCCGCGCTTTCGGTATACACCGGCGGGGCACCAGTGAAGGATGATAGGTGAGGATCAAGCAGGTCAGTTAGTCCATTGTGACGAATTCAACAAGAATTATTCACGATGGTTTCCAGGGGGAACCACGTGGAGGTCGACCTGATAGTATATTGCTAGCAATGGGTTCATTAGACCCCATTGCTAACAGTCCCTTCCCCCTGACAGAGAGAGTTCACCCGCGTACCTTAGAGCCTAGACAGTCGTGTACAACGCGATTTCAGAGATGTTTCCTCCCACGAACGCTGAGGTTATGGAATAAGCTGCCTATCAAAGTTTTTCCAAGAGACTACAGCATGGGGTTCTAAAAAGAATGAGTAGAGGTTTCTTTAGGATCGGTAACACGCGCGTAATACCCTTGGTATTGCAGGCGTTCATAGACTTATGGTAATCACTTGTTGGTGGTGGACTCTATGCTTGTTTGCCACCTCAGTGGTATAAAAAATATCTTTATACAACCTTCATCTGCTTGTCTATCAATGATAGAAATAGCGTTATAGGTGATTTTTTATTTATTTATTTATCTCTTTATTGCACCAGAAACAAAAATATTACAATGGCAATTGAATGGGGGAAAGGGATTGTTAGTAATGGAGACTAAGAATCCCATTGCTAGCAATATATCCAACCAGGTCGACCTCCTCGCGGTTGCCCCTGGAAACTATCATGGTTAATTCCTGATGAATTTATCATGCTGGGCTAACTGGCCTGTTTTCATTCTCATCTATCACCCTTCACTGGTGCTCCGCCAGCGTATCCCGTTAGCGCAGGCGGGGTTACCACTCATCCAATAAAAAAAAATGGCAAATGAATAATTATGAAATATAGTAGCATAAAGTACGGATTTAAATATATACATGAAGGTGCAAAAAGCGGTCCTATCGTTAGGGCAATCTCTTACAGACAACCTTTGGTTTTTCTTTGTCGAGGTTTCACCAAGACTACAGTACGTGGTTCTTCATAAAAAAACACTGGTAAAAAAATGTTTCTTTAGGGTCAGCAATTCGTGGATAATGTCTCTGGTATTGCAGGCATTCATAGACTACAAAAACCGCTTACTATCAGGTGGGCCCTATACTTGTTTGCCACCTCAGTGATATGAAAGAAAAAAAAAACCGTAGAGATTTCCCTGTGATATCGAATTAAAAGTTTGATTTTAGAAATTTAGACAAAGGCAGTTCATAATTGATACCAATGTAGTTTTTTTACAAGTGAAAGAATTTTTATAAATCCACATGGAGTAGTTTTTAAGTTTATCCATTTATAAACGTGTTTCAACCGTGAAGCAGTTGTGTTTGCATGGCTGTGTTTCGGTTTGAAGGGTGGGATATGGCGTGAATTTACTGGATACAGAGGAATAACACCTGAGTCCTCAGGAATGGCAACGCATGGGGGGTATCATGGGCGAAACAGTATACTTTGTTATGTCCATGGTACTGCTCATGTCTATAGGCGACGGTTACCACTTTCCATCAGGTGAACCGTCAGCTTGTTTGCCATTCTAAGTTGTATAAAAAAAAAACATTCAAATCTTTCCTCTTCATAATATTAATATATTTAAAAAAGTTATCATCTTTGACGACATTCATTTATGAAGAATGATAAGACATTGGGTTTGATTCTCGCTCGGGTCAACACGAGAGACTTTTCAAAATTGTCTATGGTCTGGAATGTTCTGGGATGTGTTTTTAGTAACTACTCGGTAACTCACACAGTCGCAAGGACGTGCGAACTCCAAAAAAATTTTTTTATATACAAATACGTATATAAAAACATTCGAAATATTGTTTCTAATTAATATTATATTTCTAAGAGAATAAATAAATAAATAAATAATCTTATACAAATTATATTATTGTACTGTATAAATGTTAAAAGTATATAATCTATTTCAATAGAATTCAATGAAAACCGACCAACTTTATTGAAATTATTCCATGAACACTCGTTAAATGATATTAGAATCGATACATTCGATCGATTACAGTAGAATCCGAATATTCGATTATCCGGACTTATCTTCACTGCTCTAATTACCGAATTTAGAAATATGTATTATGTATTAATTGGGTAAATGGGTATTATGTAATCCATTGTCGTTATCGCTCGTAATTTTCTTTATATCGTTTTGTCTAAATGACGCATATAAAACCCTTTACATAAAAAAAATTATGTATTGTTCTAATTGAGTTTGAAGTCGATTATCCGGATTTTCGATTATACGGAATTTCATCCCAACCAACTAGACGAGTGTCGGTCCTCCACCGTGCGTTTTTCAAGGCACTTTCTCCCACGCACAACCATTCTTTGGAATCAACTTCTAGCAGCAGTATTTCCGAACCGATACGACAACATAACTTTCAAGAAAAGAGCATATTCCTTTTTTTTTCCGGCAGCACACCTGCAATGCCGTAGGTGTTGTGGGTGACCATGGGCGGCGGTAGTCACTTACCATCAGGTGAGCCGCATGCTCGTTTGCCCCCTGTGTTGTAAAAAAAAAATTCCTGGTATTATTCGATTTGAATAATCCAGATTCTACTTGAATCGATTTTTTTCTTTGTTAGATCATTATTTGTTGGATATCAGCGGACAGTCTTATAATTGATTTATGTTTTTTTTTTGTTTATATATATATATTTTTTTATTATGTTCTATCGAAATAGACTATAAGACTCAAAATAAATTATTGTATCTACGCATCACAGAGCTTATAATTAAAAAGAGTGAGTTCCACAAAAAACCGACTTCAAAGTTGTAACAAAATCAGTTATTCTGATATAAAAACTAAACTACCTTTTATTGAAATGATCTGTAAGTAAGATCCTTTCAAATAAAACAGAGTATTTCAAATCGGTTTACAACTGACGGAGTTATGAGGTAACAAACATTAAAAAAAAAAAGACAACCTTCTGTAAATTCCAATTTGGAGTGTGTTGAAAATGGCCAGTAAACGACTTCTATTTGGAAAGCAAAAGGAGTTCTTTTTTTCAAATTCATTTAATTGACAGTATTTATGAATTATATTTTTCAATATATCAGCCCAGCTTGTGACATTCATGTTAAAATTATAAAATAATTAATAAATTTTATGTTTTTTATAAATATCAGTGTTTATTATTCAATTCTGATAAAAATAGCAATTAATTTAGTCCGAGTGACGGCGGCAGGTTCGCCTCTGTGCCGCGTTGCATTCCAACATGCTCGGCGCAATATGGGCGTGACGAGTGTTACGTTCACCACAACGGGAACCGTCGACAGATGTCACTGACTCCCCTATTGTACTGTCGTGAGCATATATTTTTTTTTATTTTTATACATTACGATTTACAATTATCGTACATAGTGTATATTAATCGGGCCCAGGTTCTGTACATTTATAAAACATTATTTTTGCCTATTTTTCAATTTCATATATCGAAGTTGAAAAAAAAACATGTCTGAATTTATGTTGCATATTTTTTTTTTATGTAACTTAATGGTAAACGAACTAAGGGCTTTACTGATGAATTAAAAATTAATTTGTGCCAGAAAACAAAGCAACATTTTAAGAAAAGATATTTAAAATCCGAACGCAATTGGGATTAGCTTTTTTTCTATACAATGCACATTAACAGAGCCCAAACTATATACATTTCTGAAAAATCTTCGCATCCTCTGTCACTTTGACACATGTCAAGTTGACGTTTCGAAGTCGATTAAAAACAACACAAAATGGCGGACACGAGCGATCAGCAAGCGAGCAGATCGCCGACTGCTCGCGCGCCGCACTCGCTTGCCCAGTACACGCCGCCGCAATTGCTGATCAGTCCCCACACGTACGGCGTGAAGAATTCCTCAGGTCGCTCCTCCTCCACGTATCGGAATTTTAGGTCGGGGAATTTCTGTGGGTAAATATTTTTTCTAAATCACAGCTAAAAAGCCTCTTTAATGGTAAAAACGGTTGTTATAGCAGGTGGACGAGTGCAATGCTGTTATTATTATTCTTCCAATAGCAAACAAGCTGACGGCCCACATGATGGAAAGTGGTAACCGTCGCCTATAAACATGAGCAGTACATAACAGCATAACAGAGTATACTGTTTTGCCCAAGACACTCCCAATGCGTCGCCATTACTAAGGATTCAGGTGTTATTCCTCTGTACCCTGTAAATTCACGCCATATCCCACCCTTCAAACCGAAACACAGCCATGCAAACACAACTGCTCCACGGTAGAAACTCGAATAAGACAGAGGAGTCCAAGCAAACGACTTTTGTACAAAGTCTCCTTCTGGTATTATTCATTATTATTTATTTATAGTGAACCGGAATGTAAATATTTTCTTTTATGAACCTATAGATTGGTAAACAAGCTAATAGCACACCAGGTGGTAAGTGGTAAAGTATAAGGGGTTGGGGGAAATTGTGAAAAATGTATTGAGTACTTTTTGGAGTTTATCCCATTACAAACAAAAACATACAAACAAATACAAAAAAACAAATATTTCCTTTTTATATTATAACTTCTACGAGCATACCTTAAGCCTATCGCTGGACCACTGCTCGGCGCCCTTCTTGATACAGGCGAGCACCTCCGTGACGCCCAGGTCGCCGCCAGCGCCCTCTTGCACCCGTTGTAGGCGCGTCGAAAAATATCCTATTACCTATATATATAATTAAAAAAAAAAACCAATATGTCAATTAATGAAATCCATTCCTAAAAAATAGTTTCATTAAAAGAATCTCAAAAATTTTTATTCATGGAAAAAAAAGTTTTATATCGTCAAAAACATACCATACCATTCATTTCATTTCTGTGTGGTCCCGGCATAGAATGGGCCATCCCTTCCTTTCCCGTAGATGTCGTAAGAGGCGACTAAAGGCGAGGGATGGGCAGCAACGTCACTGTTAAAACATCTCGAAAGCCTAACTGTGATTGCCAATCCGCCTATGCTAAGCGTGGCAACTACTGGCAAAACCGTCCAGGGGGAGGCTTATATTTAACTGTGGACAGCTAAAGACTGACATAGTGATACCACACCATACCGGCTTTAACTATCTTGGGCATAGTAGGTGGGTTGTTAGCCGAAGTAAAAAGCTTTGGTGATGTTTTAAGATGAACACTGCTGTCCCTCCCTCAACCATTACATCCCCTGAATCGCCTCTTACAACACTTTTATCAGAGGGAGACTTTGTACAAAAGTCGATTGCTTGGGCACCTCTGTCCCATTCGTGTTTCAACTGTGAAGCAGCTGTGTTTGCATGGCTGTGTTTCGGTTTGAAGGGTGGGATATGGCGTGAATTTACTGGGTACAGAGGAATAACACCTGAGTCCTCAGGAATGGCAACGCATGGGGGTATCATGGGCGAAACAGTATACTCTGTTGTGTCAATGGTACTGCTCATGTCTATAGGCGACGGTTACTACTTTCCATCAGGTGGGCCGTCAGCTTGTCTGCCATTCTAAGTTGTATAAAAAAAAAACTTACGGGAAAAGAAAGAGATGTCCCAATCTACGCCGGGACCACACTATGATTAAGTAAGTTATATATCATTAATCCTTCTTTGCATAATGGTGGAAATTTCCATCATAACATTGAATACCCAAAAATTAAATAAAACAATAAGTTCACTTTAAGTTGATCGTGTCTGGATACCTTTTTAATGTCCATTGCAGAAAAAAAAAACATAGCTGTCAAATTTATTTTTTTTTAACCATTTTTCCTTTAATTGTGAACATGAATTATATCATAAAAAAAACATGCAAAGAAGGATTAAAAAGCCCGTGCATGATCTACTGATACCATATTTAAAAACTTTGTCATTCAAGCAATGAAATGTCCCCGTTTCTCTCACCATCTCTATGTTTTGCGTGATGTGGTGGCTGTGGTGCATTTGGAACAGTTGCCTCTTGTGCAGGAGCGCGTACACCATGTTCAGGTTGTTGACCAACTGGTGGCTGAGGCACGAGTTGATGATCTCCAGCAGCATCCGGAGCACCTCGTCCAACACGCTTATATGGTCCATCTGGGTTAATGTTATTTAATAATAAGAATAAGAATAATAATAATTTATTTGCTCGAAATGTGGTACAAAGGTCTTAAATGGTAACTACAGCTACACATTTCGCCTTATCTAAAGGCATGCAAATTTTGTCTTAGCACATGTTAAGTAAAAGTTTATCAATTATGTATGTGAAAATAATTATTCTAAATACATATTAATTGTTACATTGAATTAGTTAATTATGTCAACATTTAAAAATAGTCGATATTATAGGTTATAAAGCATTAAAATTGTACATGTCATATTATTAATATTATTACTTTTATTATTTTTTACTTTTATTATTATAATTTAATACATACATACTACATACGTAGAAACACGAATAGGACAGAGGTACCCAAGCAATCGACTTTTGTACAAAGTCTCCCTCTGGTGAAAGGTAGCAGTTCGCTGCTAATTCCTATCAGTGATAGGAATTTTTAAATTTAGCAAAAAAAGTTATATTTATGTACATACAATTTCTTCTGTCTTCTCTTCTGCGTGATGTGGTAAGTCTAGAGTGTTAATGTCACCGCCTGCAGTTAGAAAAAAAAAACGATTCAATTATCTGTAGGTTTTTTTAATGGGTAATAATGCAATAGCAACCTCGCCCGCGTTATCGAGGCATCAATGAGGGATGATATGTGAGAATGAAAAAGCAGGTCAATTAGCCCACCGTGATGAATACACCTGGAATTCAGCACGATGGTTTCCAGGTAACGTGACAAGGTATATTCATAGGCCTGTCTCCCATTAAGTCAGGCAAAAATAATGGTATAACATGGAATAGTTTCTGAACCGGCCTGCCTACATGATGGAAAGTGGTAAGCGTCGCATATAGACGTGAACAGCACAATGGGTATCTTAGAATGCACTGTGACCCCATGGCTGTTTAATGGATGACAAAGGTCCGCCTGCATTATCGGTATATAATGGCGTGGCGTGAATTCACTGGGTACAGAGGAATAACACCTGAGTCCTCAGGAATGGCAACGTATGGGTGGTATCATGGGCGAAACAGTATACTCTGTTATGTCCATTGTACTGCTCATGTGTATAGGCGACGGTTACCACTTTCCATCAGGTGGGCGGTCAGCTTGTTTGCCATTCTAAGTTGTAGAAAAATAAAATGATGGCAGGGCACCAGTGAGGGATAATAGGCGAGGACATAAAGGCAGGTCAGTTAGTCCAACCTGATAAATATACCTGGAATTCAGCACTATCCAGGTTTCCAGGAGTGACCACATGGAGCTTGATCTGCCAGGGTATATTGCTAGCAATGGGACTAGTGTTCCGCATTACTAACAATCCCCTCCCCTCCTTAACCCTCATGGTAGCTCTCATACGTTCAAGTTCGTGGTGTTATGCCTCCATACCGTACCGGTAGCATACCTACAATGTCTTTGGTGTTGCGGGTGATCATGGGCGACGATAGTCACTTACCATCAGGTAAGCCACTCGTTTGCCCCCTTTGTTATAACAAAAAAAAAACCTATTCATTTGGCCATTTCATTGATCGACAGCCGACTTACCTTCTACTTCTGCACAAAGTCTCGCTCTCCGCTTCGTCAGCGTTTCAAACAGTGATATTAACCGCTGCGCGACATACGGATGAAGATTTCGGAATTCACCTGTAAAAATAAATCTTTTTTTTTTTAATCAAATTTTTTTGAAGCTTTAGTACACCTGAGTGACTATGCCAGCCTCGTAGGGAATGTCTGAAAGTCAGTCTGTCTGGGACACCTTTACCCATTGATAGAGCCGTTTTTTTTTTTTTTTTTTATTTAATTATCATACATAAATACATTAAAAAAAATTGGATTTTTAGTACCACTTAAACCTCTCGGGCTTGTGTGTGATACTTTACACTCGGTTCTCAAATATCACTATTTATATGAATATTCTGCTGTTTTACCAAGGTTGGACAGTAAATAAGCTCTCAGTTTAAATTTTATGTTTTTGACAGTGATATTGTTTCGCAAGTCGGTAGGTAGAGAGTTTAAAAATAAATCTTATATCAATGATATAAAACTCTATTTTAGACGCGATCAAAATCTATTATGCTCTAAGCCGGTACGTCAAATGTAAAAAATGTAAATAAGCCAGCGTTCTAGCATACTAATGACTAAATAACTAAACTGCATTGTAAATTAATAATAAATAAATAAACAAAAGAAAAAAATATAGAAAGAAATACTTATAATTATAGATATTGTTCCAAAAAAAAAAAACAATAACCTTAACTTTAGCAAAACCCGTTACTTTTACTTAAAAAACAAAACCCCTGCACTGACTTTGTAAAAATTTCTATGGGGCCAATGGGGTATATAATAACAAGTTGTTAAACTAATCGTCGTATGTATTGTTTAAGTGCAATAAAGAATATATATATATATATATATATAACATAAAAAAGCAAGCAAATCGCGAACCCACTTTCCTTGAAGTCGGTTAATAAACAAATTCTCCCTCTTCACTTCGATTAATAAATGATGGAGTTGTCAGCAAACGAACATAGAGAAAAAGCGAGCAAACTGTGAACCTCTTGTTTTTGAAGTCTGTTGAAACAAACTCACAGCTCATGTTCGCGATGGCGGCGAGACAATTCGTGTGCAGGTACTTGTCTCTCACGCGCGCCATGTTGTACTGCAGCGCGCGAACTATTACAAGCACCATCAGACCGCCCAGCGAGATCTCCGATATGGACCGCTCCGTGTACCACGTGAGGTTCTTCAGCATCTGCGGAAGACGCGATGTGAAATCATTTTAGGCTCAGACATTGTATAGTGTATTGAAAAATTTAGAACATATTTGCTTAAATAGACTTTTAAAACTTCAATTGTGGCAAGACCAGTTATTTTAATTGAAAAACTCAATTATTAAACAGAATTTAATTAAATTTCTATAGGACCAATCTTATATCATATATATTATCAATACATCCTTTCAAATAAAAAAAGAATTATCCAAATCGGTTTATAAATGACGGTGTTATGAGGTAACAAACATTATTTACAAAAAATTAATAAAAATAATATAAAAATATTTAACTGAAACAAAAAACGTGTGAACACAAATACTCTGTGGTCACCCGACGAGACTCCAGCAAGTTGGAGGGAAATACATCCAATTGCGGATACTGGCTCAAAATATCATTGAGTAGTTTCAATGCAAGAGATAGGGGAGCTTGCTTAGCCAACTCTGTTCTTCGTAATGGAACATCGAATAATATACAACCTCTCAATTTGGTTGTCCTTTCTCCTCCTTTTTAGAAGTCGGTTGACAAGCTTTTATAATGTATTCCGCCATCTTGAAACGGTGTCCATATTGGATTTGGTGCGATGTAACTCATTTTATCATTTTCTACCCTTTAAGTCCTGTTTTTTTTTATACAGCTTAGAATGACAAACAAGCTTACGGCCCGCCTGGTGGAAAGTGGTAACCGTATAGACATGAGCAGTACATAATACACATATTAAGGGTTTGAAAAAATTTGCCCGCTTGGCAGGCGGGTCGACAACCGCAGTTAGGCTTTTACAGATGTTTTAAAACGGACGCTGCTGCCCATCCTTCTACCATAAACTGCCTTATTCGCCCCTTACGACAGCCACGGGAAAGGAAGGGGTGGCCCATTCTATGCCGGGACCTACACGGCTAATACTCAAATACCCATGCACTAATGCACAGTTCAGGGTGGAAAGGGATTGTTAGTAATCAAAGGGTCAAATAGTCCTATTACTAGCAATATACCCTGTCAGGTCGACCTCCACGTGGTTCTCCCTGGAAACCATCGTGACTAATTCTAGTTTATTTATTTATTTCTTATTGCATAATATAATTAGTAGATAACATTTCAATTATGGACCCTGTTGGGCACAGCAAGTAGGAGAGAATTCTAGAGAGTTTAATTCGTCAGGATGGGCTAACTAACCTACCTTTCATCTTCATCTGTCATCCCTCACTGGTGCCCCGCCAGTGTATACCAATAGCGCAGACGGGGTTACCATACCATTATTACCCATTAAAAAAAATGCACAGTTCACATAACACTCTTCACTCTTGCGCCACCTGCCCATTTCTATCTGTTCTCCTTTAACCAAAGGTTGTCCGTAAGAGATTGCCCTAGCGATAACACCGCCTTTTGTACCTTTATGTGTATATTTCAATTTGTATTTATGTTACTGTATTTCACTTGAATTATTCACTTGTCATTGTATATTTTTATTTCTATTGCAATAAAGAGTTAAATAAATAAATAAAAATAACACACCCACAGCCCCATACATTTCTGTAATCCAGTGGGGGGTAAATACTTACAATTTGATGGACATTCTTGATGAGGGCATCATCTTCGGTGAGGATGAGGAGAACTATCAGTGACATGTATATGTGGTGGGAGTTGCTGTCCGGCGCGTTGTACAACACTTGCAGTATTGGCACTATCTGTAATAAATACCATTTTGATGTAGTCATACAATAGAAACCATACAACCATACATCATACAATAGAAATTTAGAATTTCACCAGAGGGAGACTTGGTACAAAAGTCGTTTGCTTGAGTACCTCTGTCCAATTCGTGGTTCAACCGTGAAGCAGTTGTGTTTGCATGGCTGTGTTTCGGTTTGAAGGGTGGGATATGGCGTGAATTTACAGGGTACAGAGGAATAACGCCTGAGTCCTCAGGAATGGCAACGCATGGGGGGTATCATGGGCGAAAGAGTATACTCTGTTATGTCCACGGTACTGCTCATGTCTATAGGCGACGGTTACCACTTTCCATCAGGTGGGCCGTCAGCTTGTTTGCCATTCTAAGTTGTATATAAAAAAAGGAAAAGGAAAATTGGAAATTTATTGAAAATAAAAAAAAAAAACCCCGAACACAAATAAACCAAATAATTGAAGATTTTGCCCCACAAAAAATACCGATTTCTATTGTGACAAAACTGGATTATAAAAATAGGCCACCTTTTCCTTTCCCGTGGATGTCGTAAGAGGCGACTAAGGAAACTTATGGTGGAGGGATGGGCAGCAGTATCCTTCTTAAAACATCTCTAAAGCCTAACTGCGGTTGCCAATCCGCCTGCCAAGTACTAGCACCTATTAGCAAAACTCCCCTTATGAAGAAGGCTTATTTCCAGCAGTGGACAGTTAACGGCTGATTGCAACAACATTATTATAAAGAGAAAATAATAAATTTGTTGTATTTTAGTTTAAAATGGATAAACTAAAAAATAAATCATTTTCAAAATTCTTTCACTTGTAGAAAGCTATATTATAAGCAAGCAACATGGGCTATGTTTTATTTAATTCAATCATTTATTGCTATTTTATGTTGTAACTAGCGACCCGGCCCGGCTTCGCACGGGTATACATTACATCACATCACATTAGAAACCTCTAAAATTACCAGTGTTTCTCTACAATATTATGCATGTATTATACATATAAACCTTCCTCTTGAATCACTCTATCTATAAAAAAAAAACGCTTCAAAATCCGTTGAGTAGTTTTAAAGATTTAAGCATACATAGAGACGGACAGACAGCGACAGCGACTTTGTTTTATACTATGTATTGATATTATAGGTCTTAAGCTATTCAAGGTAAAGAATCAACATGGACCCTGGAAGGACACAGAGAAATTTTAGAAAAAGCCATGCATAGCCGGGGCCGGTCACTATTATTATATGGGGACTCACCAAATTCTCAATGTGTGGGTCGCTGGCTATGTGCCTCTTGTAGGCGTTACACGAGTGCAGCATCAGGTACAGCAGCAGGGTGGAGTGCTCGCAGCCGGCGGTCGCGCACAGCGCCTTGTGGAGCTGAACAACGTGTATTATGTATTAATACATATTGTCGCATAAAAACAATTAAAGATTGTGTCCTATAAAAAAAAAACTGACTACAATTGGGGCAAATCCCAATTAAATCTACACTTCTACACTAATATAATAAAGAGGAAAGATTTGCATTTTTGTGTGTATGTATGTTTGTAATGAATAAACTCAAAAACTACTTTGTCGATTTCAAAAATTCTTTCACCATTAGAAAGCTACATTCAGCCTGAGTAACATAGGCTATACTTATTGCTAGAAAAGATTAGGGATCCTTACTAAAACTTTAGTAACGTAACTCAAGGTGTAAAAAAATGCTATAAAATATCTTTGGTCGCGTGCGCTGCGGAAACTATTGGTGATAGAACAAAAGTATGTTCTACAATATTGAAGAAAATATCGATAACTACAAAAAACTTGGCGATACTATATGTCCAACTATTATCGTTATGTCACAATAACCACTTTTTAGGAAATGTTGTAAAAATGTACACCCGTGCGAAGCCGGGACGGACCGCTAGTAAATAAATAAAACCAGTTATGTAGATCTAAAAACTAAACTACTGAGCGATTCTGATATAAATTCTATGGGACCAATCTGTATGTGTTAATTTAAAAAAAAATTCGCATCGATTTATAAATAACTAGCGGTCCGTCCCGGCTTCACACGGGTGGACATTTTTACAACATTTTAAAAAGTAGTTATTGTAACATAATGATAATAGTTGGATATATAGTATCGCCAAGTTTTTTATAGTTATCGATATTTTCTTCAATATTGTAGAACATACTTTTGTTCTATCGCCAATAATTTCCGCAGCGCACGCGACCAAAGATATTTTATAGCATTTTTTTACACCTTGAGTTACGTTACTAAAGTTTTAGTAAGGATCCCTAATCTAGCAATAAATATAGCCTATGTTACTCAAGGTGAATGTAGCTTCCTAATGGTGAAAGAATTTCTGAAATCGGCGAAGTAGTTTTTGAGTTTATTCATTACAAACATACATACACACAAAAATACAAATCTTTCCTCTTTATAATATTAGTGTAGATGTAGACAAAGGTCTAAGTTAAGAAACACAAAAAAAAAAAAACTTAATTGATAACTTTTTTTTTGGAAGTCAGTTTTTTTAATGCATGAAGACAGATCATGCTAACTGACCTGCCTTTCCATCCTCATCTATTATCCCTCACTGGTGCCCCGCCAGTGTATACCGTTAGCGCATAACGGGGTTACCATTCCATTGTCATCTAATAAAAAAAAATCTGGGGTTGCCATCCCTGAGGACTACAGTGTTATGCCTCTAAATGAATACATAAAACATACAGCTGTCATGTCGACCCGCGGCGGGGTGACTTGAGTCACGCTCGTGTTCGAGTCTTTCTGTGGCGTCGTCGCAACTGTTTCTGAAACAAAGAAAAAAATTCAAAAGCTACTAAACCACCTGGTTAAATTTTTTTTTTTGTAATGAGTGATATTTTTTTCTTTTATGCAACTTAGAATGGAAAACAAGCTGACGGCCCACCTGGATGGAAAGTGGTAACCGTCGCCTATAGACATGAGCAGTACCGTGGACATAACAGAGTATACTGTTTCGCCCATGGTACCCCCCATGCGTTGCCATTCCTGAGGACTCAGGTGTTATTCCTCTGTACCCAGTAAATTCACGCCATATCCCACAGTTCAAACCGAAACACAGCCATGCAAATACAACTGCTTTACGGTTGAAACACGAATAGGACAGATGTACCCAAGCAAACGATTTTTGTACAAAGTCTCCCTCTGGCGAATGCATAAGTCATTATAATTAAAAAAAAAAATCATCGTCATCATATCAGCTGTTAACTGTCCACTGTTGAACATAAGTCTTCCCCTTTAAAGAGGGGTTTTGCTAGTAGTCGACTGCCATTACGTTCACGCACGTTTTGCGACACGTGCTTCATCTCTGGTTGTGGAAATTTTTGTTAGTTATAGCTGGCTGAAAACCAACGCTGTGCAACCCCCTTTTGGAATGCATTTGTTGGTGGTTTCCGCCACCTATGGTATGGAGGAAAGGATTGAGGAAAAAAGGAAGGGAACATTGACAATGGATAAAGGAAATTGGTAAATAAGAGGATCAAGGGGCTTATGTAAGAAAGGAAGGGAGGGGGGCACTACAGTTGCCAAACGGGGTTACCATTACTGTATTTTCTGTTGCAATTGTGTTTTCCTGGCAATAAATATTTTTTATTCTATACCATACATAATCCTTACCAGCAGTGTCTTCACAGCACAGCAACGCGTTCCTGTACAAATTGTCTTCGTTCATACAATGGTTGGCGAGGGCGAGCAGCAGTAGGCACGACTGGTTCGCTACAGGGTGCTCCCGTTTGAGACGCACGAGCAGCTCGTGCCTGTCTACAGGGGGATGCGTGTAGATCGTCTGCGTGGACGACGTGAAGCGCAGCATGCTGAGGAGTCCCGCTGTAAAATACATTGAAATATCTTCAATAATACCATCACTCGAGTGGAGGTTACGCAGCTGGTGCTTTTATTTTATCATTTCAGCCGTTGACTGTCCACTGCTGAACATAAGCCTTCCTCTATGGGGAGTTTTGCCAGTAGTTGCCACACTTGGCAGGCGGGTTAGCAACCGCAGTTAGGCTTTTAGTGATATTTTAAGAGGGACGTCGAGGTCATCCCTCGCCCTCCCTTAGTCGCCTCTTACGACACCCACGGGAAACGAAGGGGTGGCCCATTCTATGCCGGGGCACACACGGCGGCAGTAGCTGTGCTCATATTTGAAAACTGTTTTTACACATGTATACCAGAGGGAGACTTTGTACAAAAGTCGATTGCTTGGGTACCTCTGTCCCATTCGTGTTTCAACCGTGAAACAGTTGTGTTTGCATGGCTGTGTTTCGGTTTGAAATGTGGGATATGGCGTCAATTTACAGGGTACAGAGGAATAACACCTGAGTCCTCAGGAATGGCAACGTATGGGGGGTATCATGGGCGAAATAGTATACTTTGTTATGTCTATGGTACTGCTCATGTCTATAGGCGACGGTTACCACTTTCCATCAGGTGGGCCGTCAGCTTGTTTGCCATTCTAAGTTGAGTGGTAACTGTCGCCTATAGACATGAGCAGTACCATGGACATAACAGAGTATATTGTTTCGTACATGATACCCTGCATGCATTGCTATTCCTGAGGACTACGGGCGAATCACCTCTTTTGGGGAGGTCTATGCCCAGCAGTGGATATTTAGCGGCCGATAGGACGATGATGGAACAAGTGTAACTCACAAGCAATGTTTATAAGTAAACTGCCACCGGCAGCTGAGGTGCCGAACATGCTCGGCGGCGCTGGCAGCATGCTCGACAGGTTGACCAGCAGCGTCTTCACTAACAAAGGCGCGTGCATACCGTATCTGCCTTGGAAGAGGGTTCTGTAAAAAATTATATATATATATATATATATTTTTAAATGGATAGTAATGCAATGGTAACCCCGTCTGCGTAGGGGAAAGGGATTGTTAGTAATGGAGACTGAGAATCCCATTGCTAGCAATATACCCAACCAGGTCGACCTCGCGGTTCTCCTTGAAAACTATCACGGTTAATTCCTGATGAATTCCTCATGATGGGCTAACTGGCCTGTTTTCATTCTCATCTATCACCCTTCACTGGTGCTCCGCCAGCGTATCCCGTTAGCGCAGGCGGATTTACCATACCATTCCATCCCGCCTGCGTTAACGGTATACACTGACGGGGCACTAGTAAGGGATGATTGGTAAGTTGTATAAAAAAAAAACATACATGATGTATGACGGTGACATTACCTGTATATAAGTGACGTCTCCACAAGTCGCGTCTGTCCGTGGACGCCGGCGAACATGTAGACGGACATTAGTACCAGCAGCGTGTTTATACACTCCAGGTGTAAATAGTATGTGTTATCACTGGAATGTGAAATGAGAAAAATTAAAAAAAATACAGCATTAAAATACATTTTTTTTATATAACTTAGAATGGCAAACAAGCTGACGGCCCACCTGATGGAAAGTGGTAACCGTCGCCTATAGACATTAGCAGTACCATGGACATAACAGAGTATACTGTTTCGCCCATGATATCCCCCATGCGTTGCCATTCCTGAGGACTCGGGTGTTATTCCTCTATACCCTATAAATTCACTGCCATATCCCACGAGAGACGAGCAATGCGATGATAGAATCTATATAACCTCAGTCCCATTCGTGTTTCTACCGTGAAGCAGTTGTGTTTCGGTTTGAAGGGTAGGATATGGCAATGAATTTACAGGGTACAGAGGAATAACGTCTGAGTCCTCAGGAATGGCAACGAATGGGGGTATCATGGGCGAAACAGTATACTCTGTTATGTCCACGGTACTGCTCATGTCTATAGGCGACGGTTACCACTTTCATCAGGTGGGCCGTCAGCTTGTTTGCCATTCTAAGTTGTATAAAAAAAGAGCTAGTTAACAATACATAAATGGCTACGATACTCACGTGACCGGTATATCAATGATTAATCCAATTAACGCATCAATTAAAACTTCCACTCGACTCTCCGCGCCGAGGATCTTAGGTGACTCTGTGACCTTTTGATCATGTGGCGACGGCTGGTCAGCGTTCTGATCTTGAGGGTTTGGAGTCTGGAAGAGATATTGAATTTAATAATTTTTAAATAGAGAGATACTCTTTGTTGTTTCCTCCAAAAGATTACAATAGTAAACTTATTATAAATATAAACAATTACAACAAATAATCACAATGAGAAAACAATGGGCGACCTTATCGCTAAAAGCGATCTCTTCCAGGCAACCTTTGGATGGAGAGAAGTAATTATAAACAGTTTGATCGGAGGCACGATGAAATTCTATTATTTCTTAATTTTTACATCGTCTTATTTGAAATGTTTGTTTGTTAGTTTGTTTGGGTCAGATCTTGCAAGCTGAATTGAAACAAGATCATTTTAATTAATTTTGCCAGGTCGATCAGGTCAGTGAATGCATTGTTACTAACAATAGGGACTTTATTTCCTAGTGCTAGCAATATACCCTGTCAGGTCGACCTCTACGCGGTTTCTCCTGGAAAACATCGTTGTTATTTCTGGACGAATTCATCAGATTGGCCTACCCGACTTGTTTTCATCCTCACCTATCATTCTTCCTAGATGCTTCGCCTGGATATATATTTTTTTATTACACTAAAACATACAGTAACAACAATAAGTTAATAACAATGTTAGCGAAGGCGAACTTATCTCTAAAAGAGATCTTTTCCAGTCAACCTAAAACAGTGGCATAGGAAGTAGTGAGTGGGCAGTAGTATTGCTAAATAGAAGTATACCAACAGCGTAAGCAGGCTTGCCATTCCGTTATCATCCATGAAAAAAAAAAACTTAATTATTTCTTAATCCAATACACTTACAACTGAATCGGCGTCCCTGTCGACCGGTCCGTTGGCCACTCTCCTCTCGGCCTGCACGTCTAGATGGCGGCACAGTTCATACTCTGGCACCATTTCAACTAAATACTTGCTCACAGCCCGAATTACGAATAAGGCGTTGTACGTTTGCCATGCTAACATTACACTGAAAAAGGTTAAATAAATAAATAGATAGATAGATATATGATTTATTTGCATTACTTAGAGCATACAAATAACATTAGCTATCGGTACATATTTAAATAAATTAAACAAGACATATAGAAAAAAAAAGAAAGTACATAAAATAAATACTACCAGACATATTACAACGCCATCTAGTATTAAATATTGTTAGTTATAGTCCCTTGTTTTATGAGTCATCATCATCATCCCCATATCAGCCCTTGTCCGTCCACTACTGAACATAAGTTTCCTCTTGAGGAGTTCTGCCAGTAGTTACCACGCTTGGCAACCGCAGTTTTAAGAGAGATGCTGCTGCCCATCCCTCGCCCTCCTTAGTAGCCTCTTATGACACCCATGGAAAAGAAGGGCGGGATCACACCGGACAATTTCAATATCAATGTATTGGTTGATGCAGTTTCAAAACAACTTAATAAAGTTTCGACATAATTTAATCAAAATTCAATACAAATTAATGAAGTTTCAACATAATGAAGTCGTATTGAAAGACACAAAAACAGAGTATATGTTATGCATACTTATCACTATTAGGAGAGGCCAGCAACTCCGTGGCTCTGGTTATGAAAACTTGTACCAACGAACCGAGGTTGCCAGTCTGTGGATTGTTCTGTAAAAACTTCTGTAGGAGACACTCCGCGCTTGAGTCAAACACCAGTTGCTCTTCTCTGCAAACAGGAGCATGTGAAAAAATCACACAAATTGATATGTTGAATTCTAAAATTCTTTAATAAATGTGATAGCGAGTTTATTTGTTACTGCTAAGCACCTTAAAGGCTTAACTAATCCCTGTGAAATTTGGTACACACATAGCTACTTTTTTTTAATTGGTAACAATCCCCCCCCCCCCCCCCATCAGATTGGTATTAAAGACACTACAAATAACTTACGCAGAGGCTGGTGGATTGATATTGAAAGCCAACAGCTGGTTCCAGAAGGGATCATTGGCGCATATCACTTCCTTGGAGCAGAATCTCGCAAGCAGTTCATTAGATGACAGCTCCGAGTATCTGCTTATTGCAACACCCATTGTTGTCCTGCAAAAATAAATGTAAGCATACCATACAGTGAGGGTGTAAGAATACCAAATAGTCGCAATTCCAAATGCCTATATCTGTAACTGTACAAGCTGACGGCCCATCTGATGAAAAGTGGTAACCGTCGCCTATAGATATAAGCAGTACCATGGACATAACAGAGTATACTGTTTCGCCAATGATACCCCCATGCATTATCATTCCTAAGGACTCAGGTGTTATTCCTCTGTACCCAGTAAATTCACTGTCATATCCCACCCTTCAAACCAATAATTATTATAATTATCAGCCATTAATGGTCCACTGCTGAACATAGCCTCCTTCATGAGGGCGGTTTTGCCAGTAGTTGCCACACTTGGCAGGCGGGTTGGCACCCACAGTTTGGTAATGCTATAAAAGAGATGCTGCTGCCCATCCCTCCACTGTGGGTAAAGGTGTCCTTGACTATTTGACAGAACAAAGCTAACATTCAAACATTCATTATGAGGCTGGTCTAATCACCTATGTGTACTGAAGCATTTATTTAATTTATTTTATTTTTAATAAGGCACACATAACAAATTATAACCATGTTAGGTTTATATATAGGTGATTATGGTTTTAATGCTAGGTTACAATTCAAAAACATGTGTACACAACATGATTAATATTTAGACATAACATTTCAATTTCGACATGTGGAAGACATAACTAGAATAAAAAAAGACATAATGAATTATATAAAGAATAATAATATAATAGATTAATTCAAATATGTATTTGCATGTCTGTAAAGACTAAAAGTGAGATCTATATAACATAAATAACCATACCATCTATTATGTACTACTTTTATAACAAATAAATTTCATTTCATTTCATTTATAGTGATAGAGTAAAAATATCTTGTAGTGACAAGGTAATAATACCATATTAACTTTTAGATTATTGCACTGCACGTTTTATATAAGAGACAGGAATTAATATAATAATATAAGTAAATTATGATATTTATCTGCCATTCTTAGCTGAATAAAAAAAAAAATAAAAAAAACAGGTAGGCAATCATTGACATCATAATATTTATGCACATATGCAACAGATACATATACTCAATAATAAATATATACATATATATCCATACATACATATGAGTACATATATATCTACATATCTTAATAAAATACAGTTTACACTCTATATAAACAACCTCTCTATAAACAATATTATTTATATTTTATTTATTCTACTCAGTTTAGTAAAAGAAATAAGTAAAAATATTTTCCAGAAGGTAAGGTATTTTTATACTCCTTTTTTCCCTATAAGCAACTTTTCCAAATAATAAACTTTTTTATTGAAAGCAGTTGGCGGTGAGTTGCTTATATAAAGTGTTCACTGTAGTAAAGGAAATCTGATATAGAATTTTTAGATTACTGTTATCAACTCAACTCTTTGAAAATGTATATTTTTATTAGTAGATTTAATGCTTTGTTTGTTTTAAAAAAAACATTTCCTGATCTTGGAAGAAGGAAAGTATGTATCATTTTTTTTAAGTATGACACAATCAATGAGAAGCCAAGTAATGAATATCTGGGATACAACTCAGAAGACCTAGATTGAACTAATTGGGAACTTTATTTCATAATTATTTTTCTATTTACTTTCTTTCAAATTGGGAATATAATGTAAAAAAAGTTATAAAGCATTTCAATAGGAAAAAAATAGATATATGAGAATAAATAAGATAAAGGGCGATAAAGTAAAAGATGTCTACCATCATATAAGGAAGGGAAACTACAGAACATCCAGCGGGTTGCAGAGGCACAGAAAAAGAGATACTAGAATGTTCCGTTTCGGCAATAGTTTTGATCAATTCTCTGTCGAAATCGAAATTAAATCTAGTCTAAATTTGCATTGTAACTGGCCGAAAACAAATGTCCGGTCGAATACTAGAGATAAAACTAATATTACAATTAATAATGTAAAATCTTTTATTATAATGAAGTGCTGGATTTTATTTCGTTATTAGTGTTTAAATTTTTGTTCTACGAACACTGGTAATTATTTAAAATCCTATGAAAACACGTATATACAAAAGAAATAAACACAAATCACAATTACGTTAGTAAAAAATATATGTACAAAATCTACTGCTTATAATAAACAACATAAACTGAATTTACTTAAATTACATCACCTTTAAATTGAGTCAATTATAACACGGTAAAATCATAAATATATGGATTTATTAATGTTAAAACACCGATTTATTAGAAAATAATTAGCCACGAATCCATCCTCAATTTCAATGCAAATTCGTCATTTAACTGTCATCTGTCACTGTCACTCATAAAAGTAATAATTGTCAATTAGTTCTGTGTTTCTGAACGAAAGTACTAAATAAGTGAACAAATAGCAAATAAAAGTAATAAAAATAATAAATTTGTACGTAATTGGTACCTGACTTATTACACTATAAATATTATCAGGGGGGGGGGGATTATTAGTAATGGAAAGATCTGTTCCCATATCTGTCATTATACCCTCATTCATATCATATTTATCATATCAGATAGATATCCACACTATTCGCCTTGGATATCATCTTGACTTATTTAAGGTTGAATTCATTACGATAGAGTAACTGACTTGTTTTTTTATTTTCACTAATCATCCCTCACTGGTGTTCCATCAGTATATACCGATATCGCAAACGAGGTTACCATTCCATTAATATCCATTAAAAAAATTATAGGTAAACTTATGTACTATTCAGAAAGCATATTTAATTTTTTGGTTTTAACTAATAAATTCTGGAGATTCAACATTTTACATTAAAATTTGTTATTAGAAAAGTTGGTTGTTTGACAATGCAATACAGATTTATTTTATTATAGGTAGGTAGGTAGGAAGTGAAGTCAATTCTGTGTTATCGTTTCTCTAATCTTATATCTAAAATTAAAATTTCAATATATAATTAAAACCCGTCTGTATTGCATTGTCAACCAACTAACTCTTTTAATAATAAATTTTAATGTAAAATTGTTATTCTTGTATATATCCTAACGAAATCTACTAACTAAACTATTCGTAATTTTCTAATAGATTTATGTCAAAATTTTTATTACTGATCATTCTCTTTCTAAGTTTAAACTATTTATTTCGTTTTTAAACGAATCTTTTATACAGCTGTTTATTTTGATTTTTTTGCTTTTTTCATCTTTTTTTTTTTATTTCTTTTTCCCTTGAGACAGTTCTCTTAATAAAATACCTTAAATTTAACTATGTTTATTTTCTAGCTTATGAAGTTTATAATGTTAAAATCGTGATGTCTGATTCATATCAGATTGATGTTTTGCACTATTTAAATCCACATTTAATATGGGTTGAAGTGATTAACCCGCCGAATGCGGAGCCCGACGAATTTATTTTTGAACAAATCGGCGTATATGGTATTTTGCCACAAGAAATTACGATATCTGACGATGTATTGAGTTTACAAACTAAAAAATGCGAGGCGTGGGCGCCGACTACCGTCCTCTCTATGAACAACCTCTTCAAAGAAGCTACTGAGGTTTGGTTCAGTCCTGTTCATATAGACAGAAGGTAATTTAAATCTTTCCAACATATTTAATTTAAGATCGTGTTCAACAATAAAACTGCATTCTTTGCAAAAGTATTTATTTTGATTTAAAAACGTATATTACTAAACCGCTTTTGAAAAAATGTCTATGGAAGGGATCCTTAGTAATGCGGGCTACCAGTCCCATTGCTAGCAATATACCCTGCCAGGTCGACCTCCACGCGGTTCCCCCTGGTAACAATCGTGCTGAGTTCCAGGTATTCATCACGATGGGCTGACTGACCTGCTTTTTTCATTATTCACCTATCACCCCTCACTGGTACCCCACCAGTGTATACCGTTAGCACAGGCGGGGTCATCACTCCATTCATCATCCATTAAAAAATCTGTATTTCCTTTCAATTAAAAAAAAATCCAAATCGGTTTACAACTGATGGAGTTATGAGGTAAGAAACATGAAAGAATACTAAGAAATTGGGAACTTCCTTGCTTTTATGTTTGTTCAAAATTATAATTAAACAATGTTTATAATAATAATAATAAATTCTTTATTGTTGAAAATACTACATCCTTTTTTATACACTTCTAATATTAATTTACTCTTTTCCAGCTTATTTTTTTATATAAACTTCTTCAAGATCCATACATTTTTCTCTATCTTTCATTAATCTGTACTATAATTTTCCTGCTATTCTTTTTATTTATTTTTTATTTATTTACACTTTATTGCACCATTTTTAAAATAGTAAATACATTTAATTGTAATAAGAAATGATACAAAAGGCGGCCTTATTGCTAAGCAATCTCCTACAGATAACCTTTGGGTAGAGGACATTGAGAAAAGAAAGAAAAACAAAGGGTAGGTGGCACACTATTATATATAAACAAATAAATACAAAGATATATATATATATATATATATACACATAAACAAATACATACATAAACATACACAAACTTAAAAGCACACATACAACAGGAGAGAGTGACACTGGAAAATGGAGATACAACATGGCAAAATAGTACTTAAAGGGAGAGATAATGGGATTTAACAGATGTCCTGTTTATGTTGTCCTCCCATCTTTTCTTCTGGCATCCATTCTTTCAAGCCCCTTATCTTTGATACCAGTTTGTGACTGATTTAGTCCATGTTGTTTTGTCTCCTCATGACATTTCCCTTCCATCTACTTGAGTTCATTTACAATTATTTTTTGTTTTTTTTTTTATTCTTTTGTATGTAGTCTATTGTTATTTTATATTTTAATTTTATGTTTAACATGCTTCTTGCATTGTACTGACGGGTATGCAGTTTTTTAAAGATTTTTCATTTAAAGGCCAAGTTTGATATCTAAATAAAAAAACATAATAACATATTAAATACTTTTTGTTGTTTCCAAAAGTATTGATGTATTTCTAAGTATTTCTTTAAGTGACAAAATTTTTTTCCAATTGTTTGGTATTCTTCTGTTTCTTTCTCCTTAAAATTGTCATCAGTTATCAATTTACCTAAATACATATATTTTTTTATGTATAGATGTATTATTTGTGTTAGGCATGACAATATTTTTTTATTTATTCACTGACGGTCCTTACTTCTTTTCAATTCAATTTATTTATTGCATTCTACAATATTATTATAAAATATGTTAGCAATAGATATAGTACATTGTAGACCGTGTCGGGTGCAGCGATTAGAAGCGAGGAGGGTGTTGATCCTTAAATTTTTATAAAGATTTCAATAATTAAATTCAATTTCATCAAAGTAATTAAATTGTAATAAAAATCCAAATTAATTTGATTAATTCCAAATGATTTTAACAGTTTTAATGTTTCTTCACTTGGTATCATGTCTGCACTAGGAGTTTTTGTTTCTCAGAGCCATTGCTGGTGATATTGATTCACTTTTCAACCAACTTAAACCAATGAAACAAACACCTACAAAAACCAAAAATACCAACACAAACAAAAAACAAAAACCAATAAAAAGGAGAAGGTTATGAATTTGGCTGTATTTTTATTTATCTGTGTTACCTCATAATTCTGTTACTTTTAAACTGATTTGGAAATTTATTTTTTATCTGAAAGGATGTACTTTTTTTTTAATGGGTGAAAATGGAATGGTAACCCCGCCCGCGCTATCGGTATACACCGACGAGGCACCAGTGGAAGATGATAGGTGAGAATGAATGCAGGTCAGCTGGCCCACCATGATGAATTCGACAAGAATTAACCATGATGGTTTCCAGGGGGGGTCCACGCGGTTCCCCCTGTATACCGCTTTTGATAAAATTTCTACGGTATCAATCTGATAGTACATCGTTTCGGAGGGAAAGGGGTTGTTAGTAATGGGGTCTAATAGCCCCATTGCTAGCAATATGCATTATTAGGTCGACCTCCACGTGGTTTCCCCTGGAAACCATCGTGATTGATTTAGTGTTGAATTCGTCACGATGGGCCAACTGACCTGCTTCATCCTCACCTATCATCTTTCACTGGTGCCCCGCCACCGTATTCCGATAGCGCAGGCGGGGTTACCATACCATTATCACCCATTAAAAAAAAATAGATGAAAATGAAATGGTAACCCCGCCTGCGCTATTGATATACGCTGGCGGGTCACTAGTGAGGAATGATAGATAAGGATGAAAGCAGGTCAGTTGGCCCACCATGATGAATTTGACAAGAATTAACCATGATGGTTTCCAGGGGAACTGCATTGAGGTCGACCTGAGAGGGTCAATTGCTTGTAATGGGGCTATTAGACCTCATTACTAACAATTCCTTTCTCCCCGCATGGGTACCTTTGTCCCACTCATATTTCTGCTGTAAATCAGCTTTACTTGTATGGTGGTGTTTCTTTATCAAGGGTGGGGATATGGCAGTGAAATTATAGAATATAGAAACACAATGCCATAGTCCTTAGGAATAATAACAAAAGAAGTATAATTTTTGTATACAAGAAGGTGGCAAACAAGCATATGGCCCGTCTGATGGTAAACGGTTACTGTTGCTATAGACCCATGCACACATCGTGACACCCCTATCACAGATGCGTTGCCGACCATGATATGTCATACTAATAAATATCATGGGATATATTTAATGGTTGATAATGGAATGGTAACCTCGCCCTGCGCTATCAGTATACACTGGCAGAGTACCAGTGAGAGATGATAGGTGAGGATGAAAAGGCAGGTCAGTTAGCCCATCGTGATAAATATATCTGCAATTCAGCACGATGGTTTCCAGGGAGGAACACATGGGGGTCGATCTGACAGGGTATATTGCTAGCAATGGGCATTATTACTTATGTCTCTCAGTGACAGTTAATTTTGCTGCAATTAGGATTTGATGGTGTTTTAAGGGGGTCGCTGCATACCATTAAACAATCATAATAATTATAAAGTGTGTGTTATTAATATTAAAAACAAATTTCCAGAAATTCTTTGTTTGACAACAACATACACAAATATGGTGAGATAACAGTAAAGAAGCAAAATGGAAAATGCAAATTATTGTCAAAGTTACTCATAAAGTCTGGCTTCGCATTGAACGATCCATGCATGTTCCTGCAAGAGCTGAGTTTAGGGATGTTGAGAACGAATCTCACTAACATACAGAGAGATGAGGTCATTAAACATTTAACTCAACCGAATAAAAATAAACCGTCAAAGGACCGCGAAAAGTCTGTTAAGAGACAAACACATATTTTGCAAATTGCCAAAAATTTAGAGTCGCCATTGACAATACAGAATTTGCAAAGGCACAATCAAAATCTAGACGTAAAGTACATGGTAAAAAATAAAATTAAAGATCTTGAAAAATGTAAAGATGTCGATGAGAAGTCACTTGGACGGGGTGTGACTCACAAACAGCCAGAACCGATGCAGAGGTCTTCGCTGCTGAGGAAAAAGTTGGAAATGTCTGCACATGTGCCTAGACACCACAAACAGGACCCCGCATCAATATTGTTGGCTACGAAGAAATTTCTAGAAGCAAACGCTAAAATTAAAGAAGACGTCACGTCTGGAAGCAGTCCGAGAGAGCCAGAAGATACAGTATCAGAAGCAGAAGACCATACAGGGAATATAGAAGAGTACAAAGAACATTCCTCTGTGAAGTCCGATGAAAATGAATGTGCAAATAAAATATCTAATATGAAGAAAACTAAAAATGGTAAGTAAAAACAATTTTTAATGATATTTTCATTTTATAGTTTCCCAAAAGAATTATTTTATTTATAATATTATATTGTATTTTAAATACACTATTGGGACTTCTTTATGGATGATAATGGAATGGTAACCCCGATAGCACATCGGTATACGCTAACGAGGCACCAGTAAGGATGATAAGTGAGGATAGAATCAAGCCAGTTAGCCCATCGTGACGAATTCCATAAGAATAAACCAAGATGGTTTCCAGGGACAACCACGTGGAGTTCGATCTGATCTCCATTACTAATACTCCCTTTCCCTCTACTATCGGGCTTAATGCAATGAATTTTTTTTTTAAATTCTTTAATTCAATATTAAAAAATTGAAATTAAGAAAAATCAGAAACATTTCAATAATGGATTTAGGCTTTTGACACTATGGGACTCGGTGATGAGTACAGTAAAACACACGATAATTTGTTTAAACGCAGTGTTGATACGATTAGTGCGATTTGTAGGGTGGATCTAGATAATAACATTGACGATGTGAGGGTATTCAAGGAAACAGCGCGGGTTGCCATACTAACATGCTGCTCACTTCAGTCACCAATTTGATATCTGCACCATATTTGTATGTAGTGCCATGCAATATATATATATATATCTTGGGATAAAGCCACAAAAGATTTAGAATGTATTTATAATAGGTACTTTTTCGTTAATATGTGTAAAAGTAATTGCTAAAGTAAATATTTCTTCTCCAGCGAACAAAAATAGCAAGTACAAAGTTCCTGAATATGATATGAATATGGAACAATGTGTAGCGTATGGACCACCAGGTCTGAATCCACAAAAGTTACCATTAAAAATTGTACCCAAAACAAGTAATGAAGTGAACATAGTTAAAACACTTGAAAATAATGAGGAGATTGAAGGAAATTATGACATCCATGATGGATTAGATTCTGCAGTTAACGTAGAAATAACTAACAAAGATCAATTAACGCTAATTAATAAAGACCATGATGAACAATTAGAAACAAGTTCTGCAGCAGATGTAAAGGTGGAAGGTAATGTAGATGAGAAAGACGCAAAGTCTTTTTCAGAGGAGTCTAACATTGAACCTTCTAAATCAGTTCGTTCGAAAATTCTCCTAAAGAAATTGAGATTGTACAAAGGAAGAATATCAATTGATTCCCTGTCATTGTCATCTGATATTGGTAAGGATTCATCGTCTGTTACGGAAGAAGACTCAACGAAAGGTAATGGTAAGGTTACTCCTGATTCAGATGAAGAGAGCATTCAGAATTTAGTTGATAAATTAGCTTTAGAATATGGTGATGATAAAAAAAATAGTAGTTGTAATAGTACAAATGAATTGAAACAACCGATTGTAACAAACCAACAAAATGTCGTGTTAAATAATAACGTCAATCCGTTTAAAAATGTAGACCCAAATATTCCTGTATTGTCAGTTTTTGTTGAAAAACTCGTAATGCCTGTACTTATGGTACACAGTAAGACGAATAAACGCATTCAACCACGTCTTAATCTAAGAGATGTTTGTTTCAATAATCATATACATGCAGTGCTTAAAAATATGTCTGTTGAAAAGCCAATGATGTTGCAGACAGTTTCTTGGTATGCTATTTTGCGTGGGTACAGTTTATTCATGATAAGTTCATTGGGCAGTGGAAAGACATTGGGTTATGTACCTGCTATTTGTAGGTTAGTATCTGATTCTAGAGCGAATACTTCTGACAGTGTAGGCCCATCATGCATTATCGTTTGTGCAACAGCAAAGTCGGTTTCCGAAGTAGAAAAACTTTGTAGAATGTTTTTGGGGATAGAAGAAAGAGTAGTAAGCTGTTATGCTGGTATGGATGAGCTTTACATAACGTCCTCTCTGTTGAATGGTTGTGATTTGTTTATATGCACCCCCTCAGCGTTGGTTAGATTGCTCCAAATGACGGATTTCGGTTTAGACCTTAGTCGGCTTTCTACTTTTGTTCTAGAAGATGCTGAGCGACTTCTCGAAGTTTATCTTAACGAAGTCAAATTTTTCCTCATCAAGATCAAAGAAATGCTAAAAAATAGGGCGAATAAAGAGATGAAAGTTCAATTCGTCGTAGCGTCTCGAATTTGGTGCGATTTCATGGAATCGCTCGCTAAAAAAGCACCGCATTCCGTTGTATGTATCGGATCGTTCCAGGAATGCGTATTGTATTCAAAAGCTAGTACCACAGTCAATTTTGTTAAAAAAGAGAACAAAGTAAAGACCGTTTTGGAGTTCTTAGAACAAATTGTTAATTCGAAAAAAACTGTGATAGTTTGCCGATCGAACGATGAAGTTGAGTTATTAGAAAAGAATTTGAAGAAACACGGCAAAATTGTATTCGGATGTGACAACACTATGACGGTACATGATTTGTATGATCTGAGTAAACAGTGGAATGATTACGAAGAACCTCTACTTGGGCCAATACTTGTTTGTTGTGATGGTAACTTGACACATCTGAATGTGTCAGACGCACATTACTTAGTTCATTATTCCTTACCCGAAATGTTCTCCATGTTTTGCAAAAGATTTTCCGTTTTAAACGACAACTACCCATCTATATTTAAAACGGAAAATAAAAATATTAAAATTAAAATACTCTTGGACGATAGCAACGTGGAACAATTGCCGAAAATATTAAATTTCATTAAAAGATGCACTAATGATGTCCCAACATTTTTGGATGAGATTTGTGCGAAAGTTATAGAGGAGAAGGACATTGTCAAAGCTAAAAAATTTTTGCCAGTGTGTGATAGTTTACTAGCTCTTGGCGAGTGTCCAGATTTTTGGAATTGTATAGAACGACATGCAATCTTTAAAGAATACGATGAACCCAAAGATTGGATGCCTAAAACGGGGATAATAACTTTCAAGATTTTACATGTTCAAACAGCAGTGGCATACTCAGCAAGATTGTTGTCAAATGTCACGAAAAATAATACAACAAAATATCCACAAACATATAGCACCCTCTCATTAAAAATGGGAATGTACTACAGTAAAGAATCGAACAGACAATTACACGGTATACCTAAAGTTGGAGACTTAAGTGCTGTTTCGATTAAGCTCAATTTCTTTGCTAGATGTCAAGTGGTTAAAATTTTGAATTATTACAAAAATGGCAATCCTAATTATGTTCTCATTAAATTAATAGATGAAGAAAAACTTGAAAGAAGTCGCGATATTTATTTGTATTACCTACCAGAGGATTTAAGAGGAATTGAAACTCACGTGGTTCAAGTGAGGTTAGCTAATGTAAAACCCAAGGACAAAGATGTTACTTTTTCTGACCTTTCAAAAGAACAGTTGAAGAAAATTACTGAAAAACAAGAGCACTATATGAGAGGTACGGTGACATTGGCGATTGGAAATTGTGTTTTTGTAGACACCCTAGAAGCATGCCAGGATCTGACTTCATTGAACGAAACAGTTGTAACAGATAACTTCAAAAAGACTCTTTTAGATGTACATGCTATTCCTAATCCAGACCACATACCTAAACTAGAAACACTGTGTGCAGCTGGAGGTTTGGATAGGAAACTAGAAGAACCAGTAGCTGAAATTGTGAGCCCCTTGAAAGAACGGCCTCCGCCCCGATGGGCACATCTTGATACTGATGAAATGTCATCTGTATTGTTTGGATCAGCAGAAAATCCGGCAACATTCTTTGTTCGACTGGTAAAATTCGAAGATTGCATAAACTTGTTATTAAAAGATATTGAGAAGTATGTTGTTGAAAATCCTGAACCTGTAACCGAAGTTACAAAGGGCGATATCGTTCTTGCTAAGTTCCCAGATGATTCTACATATGAACGAGCTAGAATCGAGGAAGTATATAATAATAATCGAGTCAAAAGCTTTTTTGTAGATCAAGGTGATTGGAGAGATGTTCCTATGAATGAATTAATAACAATACCAGAAAAATTCATAACAAAACTCCCATTTCAAGCCATTGAATGTCGACTGATAGGCGTAAAGCCAGCAGGAGACGATTGGACTGAATTTGGTACCAACTGGTTTTGTGATAACTGTTTTGAAGATAACAATGGGCATATAAAACAACTTTACATAAAATATTTTACAAAAGAAAGCCCGCAATTTACTGGTGGGCACAAATATGGAGTAGTTCTAATTGACACAAATGGCGATGATGATGTATTGATCAATCAGTTGATGATTGACGTAAATTTGGCTAAAGAAAATGAAGACGAATTGAAATATTTTGATGAATTAAAGAAATCTGCTGACTTTAAAAAAGATAGTCAGTCTATAACATCGGAAGATGATTGGGAAAAGATAACGATACCGGATGTAAAGGAAACATCAAAGGTACCGCTTGAAGACTTTTTTCCTAAGAAACCTATAAGGTCAGTACATTTAGTTCAAGATAGCGACGAGGATTCAGATCAGTGGGATATTAATATGTCCTCTGATTTTGCATCTTTATTTAAACAAAATGATACACATAAGCAAATTAAAGAAGCAGAAGATAATGTAGTTGTCAATCTTGAAAAAGAAAAAGAAATGTCTGAGCCACCTAAATCAAAAGCATTAGAAACTATAGAAATTCCAAAGAACTGTGACACACAAGTGGCGTGTAAGAATGTGTTGAAAAGTATTAAACAAAATACAAAATCACAAAACGACAAATCAGAGATACAAGAATTAGATTCAGATGATTTCTCGTCAACAAAAGATAGTCAAGTTTCAGATATTGCTGACACTACTCTCTTTAATACGGATACTGAAATTTTATCAGATACTAGTAAAAGACCATTGATAATTGAAATAGATAATTTGAGAAAACCAAAAGTGGTTTGGAGACAGAACAATATGATTGTTATTATAAAAATTCAATTGATTGGCGTTGAGAATTATGATTTAGAAATAGGGAAAAGGTTTATGAAATTCTTTGCGATTAATGACGATACAAAATATGGTTTCGAGTTTGAACTGTACGGCGTAGTCAACGATAAAAATTATTCACACAGTAATAAAGGCCAATACATTCTGATACACTTGACCAAAGTGATGAAAAAGACTTGGTTGACTCTGACCAGAGACGGGGGCATTAAAAAGTGGATTGTCTATGACGTGGATTCTATAGATACGTCATCTGATGAGGAAGAACCTGAAGATGATACGACGGCCAATGTTATAAAGAATATACATAATCAAGGTGATACTGATTCAGATGACGATTTGTTAGACGATATCAATTTCAAATATGGTCGTCATTAAGCTAGATATAGATATATTGATATTAGAAGTAAAAGCAAGTATTATTAAATAAGTGTAATAGGATCTAAACTACAAGATTTAAAAATTTATACATATTAACAAAAGACTGTTCATCATGGTTTTGTTATGTGCGTAATCAAATACATACAAATCCGCCATATCTATCTCCCGTTGTTTTAGGCAAAAAACAAAACAGCAACGCCAAATGCTTCTTTTCAAACAAACCTCTTCCGCATCCTCTACATTCATCAATCATCAATCAATTCATACACGATCGCCAGTTACTTGGCCCTTCTTCAGCACGTTGCTTATTCGGTCGACATACGTCCGTCTAGGGCAGCCCCTACCGACATCTCCATTCATTCGTGCTCGATAAATGTCTTTCGAAATTCTTCTTTTATCCATCCTCTTCAAATGGTCAAAGCACCGCAACATTTCCGTTTCGATCTTTATTATTTCATCTTGACCACAACAGAATATCAGTGTTTTGCTCTTTTGAGGGCAAAGCAATAAGCTGAGTTGTGACCATTTTGTGTTACTATGGCACATGCATAATATCAGGAAATTGTTGTTTTATATATTTTGTTTTTTTTTTTTGTTTGTTGCTTTTTATGTTTTTTTTTTCATTCTTTTATCTCTTTTACTGTGCATGTTTTTATTATGTGTATGTTTGTATTGTTATTTGTATGCTGTAAGTAATGCAAACTATTTATCTTTTAGTTCATACCTCTCTCTCTAATCACACTATCACTCTATCTTTAAATGTATTACCACGCATATTTATAAAATCTCCCATCTTTATAACATTTACCTCGCTTTCATGCTTCTTCTGCCATATCCACGGATTTGAGTAAATTTTGCAGAAGCAATAAGCAAATAGAAAAGAAGTTGTAATAGTATGGCTAATGGAGAGAAATTTTGAAACATTTTGAGAACATCTTCTTGACTGATCAAAACTTGGAATTCACGATGAATTTAAATAAAAAAAAAAATTGGAATGATACAAAATACTTATATTTATTTACACTACGAGTACCAAGTCAAATGCTATGGAAAGAGCTATGCTTGAAGTCCTTGCTTGTTAGAATCGAAAATGAGGGTATCCGCAGAAAAAAATGACGTAACCTGAATATCTTAGAGAATTGGTGAGCTAAAGGCCAAATAGCTCGGAGGATCAGGCGCATATAGTTAGTACGTACTGTTATAGCTTTATCAATTTAAAAAGGTTTATTTTATTCCGTTAGTTTTTTTAGATTTTAAAAATAAATGAATCGTAAATATTTAAGTGTAACTTATTTACTGGTTATTTGATTAGAATTATTTTGTTTATCATCATCATTATTACCAGAAGTTCCACAACCTTCCATATTAGTCTTCAATCTCCGACTGCCATTTAGTCCACGCACGTTTTGCAATTTTTTTTTTTTTATTTGGACGAAATGGCAGTCGGAGATTGGGGGCTAGTATGGAAGACTATGGTACTTCTGGTAGTAATAGTGGTAGACAATCTTCGATTGTTGACAGTCACACACATACTAATGGTAGCGGAATTAAACAAAATAATTCTAAACAAATAACCAGTGATAGGGACTTCGGCAAGATAATACCTTTCTTCTTCTCATTTAAGAGTTTCCTCTTGTCGGTGCAACTAATTCATGCATCTTCCTCCAGCCAGCTCTATCCCAGACCATATCCTTGACCTCCCTATACGACATGACGCCTAGTGTTTCCTTTATCTGTCCCATGTAGTTAATCCTCCGTCTTCCTCTTCCTCTCTTGCCCTCTTAGATAATACCTAGTTTAGTAAAATATGTAACTTGTTCACTTACGAGTCTCTTCTGATTTAAAAAAAAAAACTTTAAGTGGAAATGAGTAAGCTATAGAGAATTTAGTGCTATACCATCGTAATTAATTGGTATATTCCTGTACGCAAATAGCAAACGAATCTCAAGAGATAATAATAAAATATTAGCGATTCTATCAAGATAGAATCGCTAATATTTTATTGTTAAACGTTTTGTAAACACACAATGTATTTTAATATAATAACTACTGGTTTAACTTACGTGTAATTAGATCGAAAAAGATCAACTAGTTTAGAAATCAATTCGTGATCCTTAATCATGAGTGACTGTGATATGAGCACGCGTCCGACTCGCTGAGCGCGAGCTGTACGCGCTTGCGGCGTCGTCACATATAAGAAAGACGGCGTTCGGAACCGAAGAGTTCTGGCTCGTCAGTCCGGCTCGTGTTCGCGTCACAGCCGCTCATGACCAAGAATCATGAATTGATTCCGAAACAAGTCAAGAATTTTCGATCTAATTTCACGTAAGTTTATTCACTAATATTGTTTATCACGTTGCACTGTCAATTTTATTTTCTTTTATTCCTGTCTTCGGTCGACTGGTAAATAACGCCATATTGGGTTAAGTCCACCATTTACACTATCTAGGTGTATTAAAGTTTAATAAATAAAAAAAGGACAGCGCACATCGCTGTCTCTTTCTATCTAATGGCGAATCCATTAGAAAAAGACGGCTAGACTAGCCATAACGATTCTACCGATGTATTTGTTTAACACTCTTCTAGTTAGAATGTGTAGTGTGACAGTTGTACACTTTTAAATAGGCCAGGTATTAAGTCCGCCTTTTGTACCAGACATTTTTTTGTAATGTGGTCAATAAAGAATAAATAGATAAGTAAAAAAAAGTTCTTACGAAAATATTTGAAAGAACAGCATAAATTACTTGGCGTGATAAAAAATGGCGCGTTTTTTTTAAAAAAAGAATGTGTCAAAATGTCTGCCAAACGTGAGTTAGCTGAGTAAGTTTTGATCTGTGTTTCTCAACTCAATGCTTTATCTATATAAGATTTTTAGATTATAGGTTTGTTATTTTTTTTTATAAAACAATTTACTTTTGTGTATTTTTCAAGCCGTATCTGCTGGAAATCGTATTATTAACCGACTTCAAAAGGAAGAAGGTCCTTAGTTCGGTAGTATTTTTTTTTTGTTTGTTTTTTATATATATTATATTTTTTATACCACTGAGGTGGCAAACAAGCATATGGCCCACCTGATGGTAAGTGGTTACCGTAGCGTATGAACACCTGCAATACCAGAGGTATCATGCGCGCGTTGCCGACCCTGAAAAACCTCTTTACCCCCCTTTTGAAGAACCCCATGCTGTAGTCTCTTGGGAAAACCTCGGCAGGGATCTCATCCCAAAACCTGAGTGTTCGTGGGAGGAAACATCTCTGAAACCGCGCAGTACGCGACCATTGAGGCTGTAGAACGTGAGGATGAACTCCCTGTCGATGGCGAGCCGTACGATGATAGTAAGTGACTGTGGACATCATATTGAACAATTCCTCTGAGCACAATCCATTGTACAGGCGGTAGAACACGCAGAGTGAGGCAAAATCTCTCCTAAGACTCAAGGGTTCGATACCGCTTGTGAGCCTGAAATCATCGAGAATTCTCATAGCTCGTCGTTGCAACGAGTCGAAAGGTTCAAGCTGGTATTTAGGTGCTCCGGCCCATAAGTGACAGCAAAAAAGTGTAGTGTTTCCTCATAACTCCGTCAATTGTAAACCGATTTAGAAAAAAAATTTTTTTTTTTTACCTGAAACGATAAACTTAAGATTGATCATGTGCTCGGATCAAAATCGGTTCAACAGTTTAGTTTTTAAATTAAAATAACTAGCTTTGCCACAATTGATGGCTTCTCTTTGTGGAACACAATCTTGGTGTTTCATACCATAGAGATGTTTTTTTTTTAACAAAATAAAAGCATTGCTTTTTTAATTTCGAAATTTGACCATGTTTGATTTCAGACTGACTAAGGTTTTAAGAACCACGCTGTGTACGAATCACAACTAAAATTCCTATACGAATGTTCTTTATTCAAGTAGGTAAATTTAATTATAAATATTTTTAATAGTAGTTTTTCAGGCACAACCCCTCCCCCCCTTTCCTGTCCACTACATACACACAAGTATTAAGCGATAACGTAGTCGTCAAAACTAGATGGTCGCGTACAGCGCGGTTTCAGAGATGTTTTCTGTCACGAACGCTCAGGTTATGGAATGAGCTCTCTGTTGAGGTCACCATAAGGGGAGTTTTGCCAATAGTTGCCACGCTTGGAAGGCGGATTGGCAACTGCAGTCAGGCTTTAGAGATGTTTAACCCTTAAAAGCTAGATTTTTTAAATCAAATTAAAAAATATATAAGTGTATCCTGTACTGTGTTTACTAACAGGGAAAATAGTAAAAAAAATCAAAACGATATTTTTATATATTTATTTTGAAAAAAAAAACATTTGATATCATTTTTGATACTTTAGGCATTACGGTAATAAATATTTAAATTTATTTAACAATGCAAACCAAATCTATCTATCAAATTTGAAATTTCAGGCATTTAAGGGTTAAGAGGGACGCTACTGCCCATCCCTCGCCCTTCCTTAGTCGGTTCTAGACATCCACGGGAAAGTATGGGGTGGCCTATTCTATGCCGGGACCAAACGGCCAATATTTATCATGTAGGGGTTGAATACCTCCCAACGTCTCATTGTTTAGTTCATGATATTTTGTTTGTTATATTTTAATCCAGCAGGTACGGTTTCTGGTTCAACTTAGATTAGTAAATATTGATTTATAATAAGTTTCTTGCCTGTTCTTCTCGACTGAATAAACTGAATGTGTTTCCTTGGCTATAAACTTGTTGTTTTTTCATAGAAGTATAAATAAAAAGATTTTTATTTTTTATTATCGGTGTTTGTTTTTATATTGCATCGAAGAGAGTCAGTGGATGCAGGTGGCTCAGAATTAAAGACAAGGAGTTTAGGAATGATTATAATATCTTATGCAAATGTTATTAGTTGACGAAAAGTACACCATCAGTTGCTATTTTTCTCAATTCATAACAGGCTAGTGTATAGAAAATGTTATACGGCCGTATAACCCTACCAAATTCAGATACAACCTGCTTGCATACTTTCTACATAAACTGTGTCGAATACATAATCTAGTAATGTAAATGAACAATAATTTTACATACACATTTTCTATACACTAGTCTGTTATGAATCGAGAAAAATAGCAACTGATGGTGTACCTTTCGTTCTCTTTTTACTAATTATATTTGCATAAGAAGAAAGGAGGCAACCATATGATTTACAGTTTTAATTTTATCATTCCTTCTATGTAATTCCTTCTTCTTAGGCTCAGAACCGTTCTTTATGGCAGTCTATGGGGAAGACTTATGTCCAGTAGTGGACGGATAATGGCTGAAATAATGATGATGATGATTTATAATATACTAGTGACCTGTCCCGGCTTCGCATGTATAGATAGGTAGAAAGATAGATAAAATATAGCCTATGTTATTCGTTAAAAATTTAGTTTTGGATTTTTAGTAGAAATATAAAGTACAGCTCATCTGATATGTCATGTCAGCCGTTAACTGATCATAGTCTTTCCCCATAAGCTGTTTTTTTTTGCCATGGAAAATGACAATGGAATGTCCATTCCTTGATCATTAAGTTTTTTTTTTATGATAATGGATTGGTAACCCCGCCTGCGCTAACGGGATACGCTGACGGAGCACCAGTGAAGGATGATAGATGAGAATGAAAACAGGCCAGTTAGCCCATCATGATGAATTCATCAGCAATTAACCATGATAGTTTCCAGGGAGAACCGCGAGGAGGTCGACCTGGTTGGGTATAGGTTTTCCAATAGTTACCACGCTTGGCTGACGGATTGACAACGCAGTTTGGCTTTAGATATGTTTTAAGAGGGACGCTGCTGTCTTTCCCTCGCCTTCCCTTAGTCGCCTATTACGACACCCACGGGAAAGGAAGGGGTGGCCTATTCTATGCTGGGACCACACGGCCATTATTTATATATTAGACATTGTTGATTTTAAAAATCACATTAAAAAAACAAGCTGTGAGTATAATTTATTTTATTGATTACATTTTACACAAATAATTAACAAAGTTAATGTTTTCTAACAAATGAATAAATTTTACAATTTCACGATTATTTCCAATAATAATATCACATGAACAATAATAACAAAATAATAACATTTACTATCGAAGTAAGTGTACGAATTATTCTATGTGGTGATGGAAGTGAGTCTAAAGTACTTTCATCTCGCATCTTCAAGGACATCGTCTTAACACTTCTACAAACAAATAGCTAACAAAAAAAAAAAAAACTACAAAATAAAATATTTCACAAATACAATACAATCACAAAATATTACATAATAATAATACTATACAATTGACATTAAAAGAAAAGTGTAAAAACGTAATTTTTACACACAACTCTTGGGACTTGAGAATGCTCTAGTGCCTGTAAATCTTGTTAAGTATAATCAAAATGTGTAAATTTGTGTGTTTTGATTGTTCTGCGGCGCTAGAATAAATACGGAGAAGATATTTTTTTATCCTATATTACACGCGAGCAAAGCCACGTGTTGTAATTAGTGTTAAATATATTTTTAAATAACTATAAATCAATAGTTATTTATTAAACCTGCAGAAACATTGTCTGTAATCTGAATATTAAAACATGACGAATGACCTGAATGTAACTGCTGATTGGTCGTCGCAATTTGTTTCTAACTTCACGATCATTGCAGCAACCATAGATTATGCAGTAGCAATTAGCATGTTTTGACGATATTATTCAAATGTAATTCTTACAATTTCCGGCAATTAAATGGTATAAATAATCTATCACGTCAACAGCCAGATTGGTATCCCCATGCTTCGCTGATTATATTTAAGTGTTGTCTACATGCTTCGCTGATATCGCATCGATTCTGTTTAAATGCGTCCATGTTTTGACGGCATCACATCAACTGCATTTAAATATTATGTACATGCTTCGCTCATGTCACGTCGACTGCATTTATGTGTTACCTGCTTACTTTTCTGATGTGAAGCCGACTTAATTTATTTTTATTTTAATGCTTTGGCAATGTAACTTCAATATCATTTAAACGCTTCGCTATTGTTGTCTATGACATTTAACCATTTATATAAATACTTCGCAGATGTAAAGCTTTTTATTTTTTATTGTAATATTTCGGTGACATCACGTTGACTGCATTTTAATATTATCTCTATGCTTCGCTAACGTCTCCACTCTTCGGGAATGTAACGTCGAGTGTATTTAGATGTTGAACCTGGTTTCTGAACCGTCAGCTAACATAAGGGTGACGGTACGCGAGTTGGCCCACACCAGGCGGGCTAGTCGGGCTGGATTGAGCCGCGCTACGTCCGCCATGGGCGCTGTACTGTAGCACTTCACGCAGCGAGTCTGCGCCGCGCCGAGGCCGAACATACCTGGGAAATATCATTATTTAGAACTAGCTTAATATAAAAATAGTTACATGTTGCTGGCTTGATTGGATCGACGAGGTTGGTAGAGATGTATATTTCCAATGACTTAGTTATACAATATTTTATATACATACAATATTGTAAATTTACTGTCATATCATATCTGTATGCTGCTCGTACATAGATGACAGGGGCCACTTATCATCAGGTGGGTGGTCAGCTTATTTGCTATTCTAAGTATCATTTTTTGAATAGTGTCAAGAATGGCAAATGGAATGGTATCTTGTTTGTTATAGTATATTTTAAACATATATGCAAAAGAATTGTTAGTGATTGACTATTAAGTTAGACGTATGATGAAACTAAAAATTTATTATTAATAGTATCTAGGTTATGACTGCTATTTTACAATAACTCTATAAATAATCTATATATATATATATATATATATATATATATATATATATATATATATATATATATATATATATATATATATATATATATATATATATTTCATTCTTTTATCTGCTTAACCTGTGTGTTACCTATGTTTGGAGCGGGGTTTCACCTATATTTGTGATTTTTGTAACATTTATTTTGAAATAAACTTATTATTATAAACTAAAATTATGATTTTTTTATTTTGTCCATATTCACAGGCGGTTACTACGTCCTATCAGGTGGGCCGGTAGCGAGGATGCTCACCGGCAGTGCTCTGCCAGAAGGAGAGCCTATTGTCGGTGGTAGCGTAGGAGACCAGGTAGCAGTTATCGGGTCTGAAACGGTCGCTGCCAGCCCACTTGATAGGAAGTAGTAAGGATGCTCACCAGCGGTGCTCTGCCAGAAGGAGAGCCTGTTGTCGGCGGTGGCGTAGGAGACCAGGTAGCGGCCGTCGGGGCTGAAGGCGCAGGCGGTGACGGGCCCCGCGTGGGCCGCCAGCGACTGGCAGCGGCCAGCACGCAGCTCGTACATCGCCAGCTGTCCCGTGTGGCTGCCCACTGCGCAGCGGAACCCAATCAACACCAACCTCACCAGTAGAGGAGCGAGAATCACACGCCGCGATATTGGCTTATTTAAGATTATTTTCAAATGACCCATATTTCCCATACTGTTTTTTTTTATTGACAATGGAATGGCGACCTCTTCGCGGTTCCCCTGGAAACTATCATGGTTAATTCCTGATGAATTCATCATGATGGGCTAACCGGCCTGTTTTCATTCTCATCTATCACCCTTCACTGGTGCTCCGCCAGCGTATCCCGATAGCGCAGGCGGTGTTACCATTCCATTTACACCCATAAAAAAAAACCCGCCTGCGCTAAAGGTGACCAGTGAGAAATAATAGGTGAGAATGAAAAGGCAGGTCAGTCAGCCCATCGTGATGAATACACCTGGAATTCAACAAGACGGTTTCCAGGGGGAACCACGTGGAGGTCGACCTGATAGGGTATATTGCTAGCATTACTAACAATCCCTTCCCCCCCCCCCCATACTGGTTGGATATTTACATTCATTTCAATCGGGTACTTCAATTCAATATTATATATTCGATCTTTCTATATATTACTTGTTCCTATGTCCTAAACACAGCATGGAATCTCTTCACGAATCCACCCTATCCTGGGCCCTTAAAAAAGGAGCATAGTAGTCTCAGATATGTCTTCAACCCAAGATGTCAGAAACTCGCACATCCTGAGGAAAGCATCAGACAATTCTGGGTTGATCCAGCCCCGATAAATGCCTATTCATAGCAATCACATTTAGCTGCATCACCTTTGGTCGTATATAATATCAACTAACGCGAATAGTCAACGCAGAGTCCGAGTGTGGCGCATTACCTAAGAAAAGGTGCAATGCTTTGTTGCCGATCTTCCGTCGACCGATATATAGCGACGATGGAAAAACGCTGGACACGAGTGTTCTACGGTGCTAGTTTGACGTAATAATCGATCTTTGGCTCAGTGTGACTGCAGTTTGATGGATTGACATTCCGCCGCGGATGATCGGCAACCAAAAATTTACTAACTGTAATTATAGCACTATGCTGCAATATATGACCAGTAAATTATTTCTGACAAGCACATCAAGTCAGCTTGATCTAGTCCTAAACCTAGACTTTGGAAACCATCCTGATTACATCCTAAGAAATTAGACATAAAAGGTCAACTGACCTGATTTTTTTTATCCTCACATTTCCATTGATACCCCGTCAGCGCATACCATCAGATTATCACAAACTAAAACCCTCGTTTGAGAGGATCAATCTAGAATGAATACATACCGGCAATCCGTCTAGTGGCCGGGCAATGTGACACCTGGTTGTAGCGACAGATGGCTGGAAACACTTCGTTCAGACCCTTGCTCTTCAGGTGCGACTGGTCCACGCAGTGTAAGATTATGTCCATAACCTGTAAAACGAAAGGATTAATTATTGATGCAATCATTTTCGTATTTTTTTTTATAACACGGATAAATGAAAAGTAATTATAATAAAATTTACGAGAGGGTGACTTTGTACAAAAGTTGTTCGCTTGGGCACCTCTGTTTTATCTGGACCGCTACTGAAACGGTGAAGTTTCGAGTTTATTAGAAGGAATATGAATTAGGGAGAGGGGAGAGGTAATGGAGGAATATGGGAGGGTACGGGGGAAAATGGGAGAAGGAATATGGGGAAAAAGGGAGAGGGAATGGGAGAAGAAGGGGAACGTAACGAAGGGAAGCGAGGTGTGGAAGGTATGGTAGTCAGCGAGAGGGGGAGAGGACGCGGTGAGCTCGGCGAGTACCTCGACGAGCAGCTCGGCGACCTCGGCGTGCATGCGGTCGATGAGCAGCTCGATGCCGCGCAGCACCTCGGCGCGGCCGCGCTGCAGCGCCTGCGCCGGCGCCGCGCCGCCCGCCGCCGCCGCCGCGCACCGCGCCACCTCGCGCGCCATCGTCGTGATGAACGCCGCCGGCCTGCCGCCACGCTACGCTTAGCCCGTCACGCGGCCTCAGGAATGGCAACGCGTGGGGGGTATCATGGGCGAAACAGTATACTCTGTTATGTCCATGGTTACTGCTCATGTCTATAGGCGACGGTTACCACTTACAACCTTACTTTTTTACTTTTGTTACTTAAAGTTGTATAAAAAAAAACCCATTTCCTTTATGTTACTTACGGATCACACATCGATCTGAAGACACTTATTATTGTAATAATTAATTTTAGAATTAAATTTAGTTATATTTATAAAATTGATTTTTTTTTGGGTCTTCCGCCAGCGACTTCAATAACTAGGATCAGGAAAAGCTCAAAATATTTTGTAATTTTTCGACCCATGTTTCCTTAGTTAAAATTTTAAGTTTCACTGATCGAATAATAATTTAAAAGGATGCCAATATATTTCAATGTTATTCCACATAATGAACTTGCTCTTTGTATATTAAGTTACCCCGCATTTCGCATATTCTATGTGTAGTTACCCCACGCCCTGTATACACTACATAAACGTACCCTACATTTTTTACACATTTTGCATATCCTAAACATAGTTACCCCACATGTGTAGCTACCCCACCCATCGCGTGTACTGTACCTGGCGGTGGCGATGAGCGTCAACGCTTGCCGCGCGGTACGGCACGAGTCGGCCTGCGGTGTTAGAGGCAATCCATACGTCATGGACGGCACCAGCTTATCAGCGTCCGAACATAACTCCAGCAGACCTGCAGCGATGTATTCGATTGAAAATGCGGACCTACCACGAATTCTTTCTCAAATTTCAAAACGAAACACGAGAAATTAAACAATTTTCAAATCCGTCTGGTTTTAACAGAGATTAACACGTTCAAACTCTTTCGCTTTATGCATACTAGTGGTCCACCCCGGCTTCACACGTGCAGATAGATAGAAAGATAAATTTGTATTGTATATTATTATTTATATTATTAGCTTTAATAGGCAAACTTTTGATACCTTGATTTACACTATTGTAATTTATTTAGGAATCTGTATTTATTGTAAACAATATAGCCTATATAACTAGCTGATAATGCAGCTTTCTATATGTGAAAAAATATTTAAAATTTATTAAGTATTTTTTTAGTTTATCCATTACAGACAAACAAACAAATCTTTCCTCTTTATAATATTAGTAAGGATTATAGTTACCAAGTAGTACATGGCTGACGTCCAAGTATGGTTCCCAGACAGTGAAGCCGCGGCCCAGCAGGTCGACGGCGGCACGACGTAGCGGCGTGTAGGCTGGTAGGCGCGGACACGGCGGCGCCAGGAGAAGGTGGGTCAGCGCCAGGGCTGTCAGCCGCGCTAGGTTGTTCGAAGCGCTCAGTGTGAACCCTGGAATAAGGGATTTAATATATATATATATATATATATATATATATATATATATATATATATATATATATATATATATATATATATATATATATATATATATATATATATATATATAATAACGATATAAGGGGATTTAATTACTATGAACAGAACGATACTGTACAAAAGTCGTGATTAAAATATAGCTCTCATATTTTTCTAATGAACGATATATTTACGATAGCGGTCTGCCCCGGCTATTTTCATAGGTTTTTCGTTAAATTTTTTTTATATCAGCCAGCTGCTGACACGTAGTTGGCAGAAAGGTTGGCTACCACAGTTAGACTTTGATGGTATTTTAAGAGAGACGTTACTGTCTGTCACTCAATCATTAAGTTTTCTTAGTCATTTCTTACGACACCAACGGGAAAGAAGGAGAGGCTTATTTTAAGCCAGCACTTATTTGCTCCATGATATTCATCAACATATTAACAATAATAATATTACAAACAAACATACAAGAGATCAAATCTTTACTTTTTATAATTGAAATGGGTGTCATAATCTATGTAAGTAAATGCCTCATCCTTTCCCTCTGTAACTCGAATGTGACCATTCGATATTATATATGTGTTACGTACCTTCAACTACAGAACTCTTTCTGCTGTCTGCGTCCTTGCGACGCTTGTTACCCGCAGCACCTGTATGACGATTAACAATCTTATTAATACGATAAACTTGTAACTCCTTCTGTTCGGATAATGTATGAATGAATGAATGAATGGTTTATTTTCTCTTCACAAAAGGTAGAATAAAGTGACAACTTGAGGTACAATTTGATATGAAGACCAATTTTGTGAGAGACTGGTGCTTGCGGTAGGTTTAGAAGAACCTGTGTTACAAGTCATAAAATGAATATAATATAAATATAAAATGAATATAAACGTAATTGTTTTTTAATGATGATTACATTTTTTAATGGGTGATAATGGAATAGTAACCTCACTTGCGATATCGGTATACACCGGCGGGGCACCAGTGAAGGATGATAGGTGAGGATGAAGCAGGTCAGTTAGCCCATCGTGACGAATTCAACAAGAATTGTTCCCGATAGTTTCCATGTAGCAATAGGATTGTCAAACTCCATTGCTAACAATCTCTTTCTCCCCTGACGATTACATTATCATGTATTAAAATAAAAACCAAAAAAAAAAAATATAAGAACAGAAGAATTGACATCCTTTGCTGTAGGCGATACTATAGATCAGGGGTGGCCAACCGGTTGATCGTCGACGTGACAAGGCAGAAAATATAATATTTTGCTAATCTAGCGGAAGATGTTCAGACGCAATGCTCACACTAATATAAATAAGAAGTTGCTAAGAATAAATATCAGTTTTATGTTTTCCCTCTTAATAAAATAGAAAATACTACAATACTGCATAATTGTGTACTGAACTATATTGTTTCATTTGTGATTTCAAGAAAGATGTAATTGGTAGATCGCACAGGATTTCGTCAGTAAGCAGTAGATCTTGGGTTTAGCCAAGTCGGCCATCCTTGCTATAAACTGCATGTTGTAGTTAGTATAATGAAACAATGGAAGAAAAGGGAAAATAAAAATAATCAAGCAACCAGAAAAGTACAGACGACCAAGATCGCGGAAGAGAAATTAACAAGTTTGAAATATTGTGTTCCACAATAAACAGACAGACTTCAAAATCGATTTATGACAGAGTTATGAGGTAAGAAACATTAAAAAAAATACAATTGATTAAAAACCTCCTCCTTTTTTGAAGTTGATTAAAAACTCACCCTCGCTGGTGATATCTTGACCAAATTCTGATCCAATAACACCAAGTAACACCACCGCAGTGGTTTGCTTGCGTTTCAATTCGGCCAGAGAGGATGGCTTCCTCACAATCTCTTCTTCCTCTTCTTCAAATTCTTCTTCTTGCTGTTGAACATTAATCCTAATGTAAGATTTCACCAGAGAGAGACTGTACAAAAGTCATCTGCAACGGTACCTTGAGTATATTCTTAAAATAAAAAATAATTTTACAAATCGATTTACATCTGACGAAGTTATGAAGTAACAAATATGAAAATAATATAACCGAATAAAAAAAGCTCGCTTTATTTTTAAGTCGATTGAAAAGTCTTTGACTACCCCATCAGGTATTAAAGCCTTAAGAATATTACTACCATTTACGGTCTTTAAATATATTTTCAGGTTATTAAATTAACTACCTTTTCGACTGGTTCCTTGGGAGCAGCGTGAGGGTTTATGCTCTCCGTGTGAGTGTACAGAGGTAGATACTGGGCCCAATTGTCCACTAATGTCTTGCGGCCTTTGGGCCCCAATCTGTGGGAATGAATAGAGAGTGAAAATGTCTATTGATTTATTTCTTGTGTAACATGTAACATATAATTACATGTAACCACATGTAACTTATAATTACATGTAACATGTAATTATGTGTAACATGCAATTACATGTAATTATAAATTTATCGTTTTCGGATTTCTCCCCTTACTTGTGCTACATGACATTGCTTCTTGTTAAATTTCATGATGCTAGGTTTAGGGAAAAGATCCTATAGGTTTTGATTCCCTTGCAAATGTCAAAATATACGCTATAAACAGCCGTATCATTCGACAATTTTGACCTAGAAGTTTGATTTTTTCACAAGTACTAGGGATTATATACTTGAGTACTTGATATTAATTTCAGCATGTTACCTCCATGCATTCTTTAGAAAAACAGACTTGACGAACAGATAGACAGACAGAAAACAAAGTGATCTTAAAAGGCTCCGGTTTTCTTTTTGAGGTACGGTTTCCTAAAAAATGGCGATTTAAAAGAGCTTCTAAACAAGTCTATTTGATTAAATATGATTTCTATTCTATTCTAGTAAGCTGACAGCGTCAAATGTATCTCACCTGCCCAGTTCAGCGAGTAGCAGCGCCTGCGCAGCGTCTCTAACCTCAATGCAGTGGTGTTGCCATCTGCGCGCCAACATCTCCACTTGCGGACGCTTGAAACTCTTCGATCCTGCAATCACATGTTACAAAATCCGCATGATAAATAAAATAATTATTCTACAAATAATTTTCAAATAAAAACAAGGAAGTTCTCAATTTGATTGTATTTTTTTTTATGCTTATTACCTCATAATTCCGTCAGTTCTAAATCGATCTGCAAAATTCTTTTTTTTTTTTATCTGAAAGGATATATTAACAGATTGGTCTCATAAAAAAATATCAAAATCGATTCGGCAGTTTAGTTTTTAGATCAAAGTTACTAGAGTTTTGTCACAATTGGAGTCGATTTTTTTGTGAGACACAATCTTAAATTATTTGGAAAAAAAAAACGTGGATATACATAATTGCTTAACTTATCCGAATATGGGTCAACCCTGTATAAATAGATACATAATTTATTGTTTGCTCCAAAAAATTAAAAAAAGAAATTCTCACGGTGACGTAGAAAGGTATGCAATGTGAGACATGACATGGAGATTACAGGGCATAAAAATATAACACCATAGCCTTCAGGAATAGTAACGCATGAGGGTTACCATATACAAATAAATGAGTGTAGGCGACGGTTACAATTTTCCATCGGGTAAACTGTCAGCTTATTTTCTGTATTAAATGGTAATTTTTTACCACTCTTTGCTATTGAATCACCAGAAGAAAGTCTATAAATTGTTCACTCACCAGCCGCCACAACTGTCTCTGGTAGCAGCACGCAGTGTAGCGTTATAAGCAATGCCCAGCCCTGCTTGATGTGGACCTGCTGGGCCGCTAGCTGTTCTTCTCGTTCCTCGTCACCAGCCCACGACGAGGAGCGGGTTGACGGTCTGGGTATGATGGTTTTTTAAGTATGGAAACACCAAACGAATAGGGGATGGGAATTGTTAGTAGCGAGAAACCCCATGTCTTGCAATGTCTAGCAATATATATATATATATATATTTACGGTTTGAAGGGTGGGATATGGCAGTGAATTTACGGAGTACAGAGGACTAACACCTGAGTCCTCAGGAATGGCAACGCATGGGGGGTATCATGGGTGAAACAGTATACTCTGTTATGCTCATGTCTATAGGCGACGGTTACCACTTTCCATCAGGTGGGCCGTCAGCTTGTTTGCCATTTTAAGTTGCATAAAAATAAAAAATATGTCAGAAGAAGTTATTATAAAATCCGTCTGCATGACCAGCTCTGTTCCACTCATTTTTCTTTCGTGAAGCAAGTGTGCTTTCATAGCTGCTTCAAGAGTGTGATTTAGCAACAAAGCTACACTGTTTAGAGGCATATACCTTAGTCCTCAGGAATGGTAACAAATGAGCAGTTTCAGAGGTAGCAGAACGTATTCTGTGATATCCAAGGAACATGGGTGCATGGGTTCATGTCTATGAGTGACAGTTACCACTTTCTATCAGGTGGGCCGTCAGTTTGTTTGAACTGTATACAAAAGCGTACTAGTCAATCTGATTACATTTGATACCTGTGCAGTCTCCTAGCCACTTCTTGTTCAGGCACGAAGCCAGCGTTTCTCATGGACTTCAGGGTGTTAGCGAGCGCCACTATGGACAGCAGATGGTTGGTGGTCAACGTAGTGCTTAGCTCCCAATGCAATTTCGAAGTAAACAGCCTGCAAACAAGACTTTTATTTTAATTTTTCTACATTTAGGATAACAATTATCCACCATTATCATCATATCAGCCTTGAACTGTCCACTGCTGGACATGAGCATACCTCTTGGGGAGTTTTGCCAGTAGTTGCCAGGAGGCAAGGATTAGGCAGGCGGATTGGCAACCGAAGTCAGCCGTTAGACCCTCGCCTTCCTACGTCATTTTAACACAGTTAGTGGAAGAACAATTTAAGAAGTATAAGTATTTGGAACTTACGATGATGATGACAAAGGTTTGGATACTATAATTCTCTACAAACCTGGTCAGTTTCTCCTGCCTTAACAGCTCGGGGGGAAGATCTGAATTGACTAGGACTGGGTCGTCGGGGGCGGCGGCGTAAGCGTCCGCCCACTCCAGCACCCTGGTCGGGAGTTGGACAGCCATGTGACCGTGACGGGACACCACACCGAAGCACACCGGCACCTGTATATTGATAATTGTCGTATCAGCCGTTAAATGTCCACTGTTGAACATAGCTTCTCCCAGAAGGTGGAGGGGGGAGGGGGGTTACTAGTAGTTGCCACGCTTGGTAGGCTGGTTAGTAACCGCAGTTTGACTTTTGGTAATGTTTTAAGAGGAACGCTGCTGCCCATCCCTCCACCATAAGCTCCTTTAGTCGCCTCTTTCGACACCCACGGGAAAGGAAGTGGTGGCCTAATTTATGCCTGGACCACACAGCAAATATGTACACTTATGTGAGTTTTTTTATACCTCTACATCTTCTAAACACCTGTTTAGATTTGGTTGTATGTGCTATCATTCGAATCCTTACGTTATCCCAAATAATACTACAATTACAAGGCTACAGTTTTCTTTGAATATTTCGTTTTTTAGGAGGCAATCACGGTTATCAATTAGCAGAGCAAATAATTTACAAGAGGTGATTAACCCTCGCTCACCATCGGTCTCAGAAGCCCCAGTTTGGACTCGCACACTCTGTCCAGGTCAGGGTTGAGCCCCCACGCGTGCAACAAGGAGATCAGGATCTGCGCTATCTCCATTGTGTGAGGCGGCTCCGCCAAAGTGACGTCCTTGGGACGCTGGCGTTTGCTTTGATTCGGATCATCTGAAACAAAGATGTATCAGTTTACTCAACGATGATTAAGGAAGTGATAGAAAAATTTAAATGGTTACATACGGTACTATTTCAGAGGAGTTATCTTTCGCGAATACTTAGACTGTGCAATGAGCTCAGTGCCGAGGTTTTCCTTAAAGACTACTGAATGGGGTTCTTCAAAAAGGGTGTATTAAGGTTTTCTCAGGGTCTGCAACGCATGACATCCTTGGTGTTGCAAGCGTCCATAGACCACAATGACAGTTTGCCTCCTCTATGTTGTAAAATAAAGCCAATTAGGCGAATATAAAGCCAATAAGACCGGTTGCATGGGTAATGCTGTCATAGCAATTCCTGTCGCGATTTATTATATATGTATACGAATTAATTTTAACGGTAATTTATTCAGTGAAAATGTAATGCAGTAAGAGATAAATGATCTCTTGAAAAATATATATATATATATATATATATATATATATATATATATATATATATATATATATATATATAAGATCTTGCATAAGTCCTCATAAATGTCATCGCTTCTCGTGTATTAAATTACGTACGACACAGTGTACTCTGCAATATCCTATATATGATATCTTATAGGTTATGGTTACTAGAGATGGATAATATCTGATATCTTTATATTGAGCTCTTCTGGACATTAATGACCAGCCATTGCGATATTGCTTGTATCAATCAATCATCAATGAATCGGATATAGTCTATATTCATTACGAGTAGGTTTAGCTTTTCGATATTATATATTCGAAAATCGAATGTCGAATCTGTGTCTGGCCAATATATGTATAGATATTGCAATTAAAATATATAGATATTGGTATATATTACTCATTGTTAGGTTAACACTTTCCTATAGGCGGGTCGTCAGCTTGTAAAAACAAATCTATTTTTAATTGTATTGCAAAAATCTTTATTGCACATAATTTACATTGGACACATTTAAAGATTTAATATACAATGGCGGACTTATCCCATAGAGGGATCTCTTACAGTCGACCTTTGAGAAGCTGAAAGAAAACTATAGAATGATCGAGGGTGAAAACCGTACAGCTAAAGACAAACCTCAATAATACCTAGTTTTTTTTTTAACGAAAGACAATGGAATGTTAGTCCTGCCTGCGCTATCGGCATACGCTGGCGGGGCACCAGTGAGGGCTAATAGGTGACGATGAAAACAGGTCAGTTGGCCCATCGTGAAGAATTCAACAAGAATTAACCACGATGGTTTCTAGGGGGAACCGCGCGGAGGTCGACCAATAATACCTAGTTAAAATACGTCATTTATCCCCACTAATTATTATTATTACTCCTCTCCATCCAAAGGTTGCCTGGAAGAGATCGCTCTTAGCGATAAGGCCACCCATTGTTTTCTCATTGTGATTATTTCTTGTAATTATTTATTTTTATAATAAGTTTACTATTATAGTCTTTTGGAGGAAACAATAAAGAGTATCTATCTATCTATCTAATTATTCGCTTAAAATCATCACTTGGGGGTGAAAAGGTATGTTTTGTTTCATATTACGTCAAAACAAGGAAATACCACATAAGACAAAATAAAAGCCTGTTTTAAACATAATTCACTATAAGGAAATATTAATTTAATTATCTTAGCATGATAAGTAGCCGAATAAGATCGTGATCAACAGGTTGTAATGTAACATATCCGGTTATAATAAAAACAATGACATACAAATCAGGAATCACTACTTTACAAAGTATTTAATTACAAATTTAATTGTAAATAAATACTATTTAAATCTAGGTATTTGGAGATTATTAAAAGGATGGGGAAGTTATTATTTGGTTTTTAATGAGTAGGTGTATTAAAATTTTAATTTTCCCAGTTTTATATATAGGCAGCTGTATCCCGCAGCTCCGTTTGTTTAAATCATACATTTGACTACATAAAGTAACCTGTGTAAGGATACACTAAGTACATTAAGTATCCTGTGTAAGGATATATTAAGCACATTAAGTATCCTGTGTAAGGATAAAATGTGTAGCAATTAAACAACCATATTCGAATAACAAACACAATTGACTATATTTCATAAAGTGAGTACATGCAGATTAACGAATAAATTAAAGTACCATCAATATAACACCAATCATCCCTCACTGCAGTGCAGGCGGAATCACCATTCCATTCTCACTTATCAAAATAAAAAATACGCCAATGTTCATGGGTTGCCGTTTGCTAACAGGCGGGTCGTATGATTGAATGACACCATCTTAGTATATAAAATATTACCTTCATCGCACAGATCCAAGGAAACATTGAAATAAACAGTGAAAGGGCGTGGGCGTGATCGACACAGACAGACGTACAATAATTATATATTTACAACGTTGAACGCCCAAGGTCAGTGACAGACAAGCACACATAACTGTTGGTACACGATAATTAATACATATAATAAAATCGTAACTGGTCGCTGTCTGTACATGGATGATATATAAGAAAAACTATTATAGGGGCGCTTTATGAACGCAATAGAATCCAAAACAATGTCTTCTAGAATTTATTAAAATTCTGTGGGGACTGGGTCTTCTTTGGTCACTGCAATCGATTTATTTTATTGATTTATTTTAATTATGTACTATATATATTTTATGATCTGATACTGCTTAGTAGTTTGTATTCACACAATTTCATTATTTATATAGTTAAACTTTTTGAAAAAAGCAACAGCTGAGTTTCTTGTCCGTTCTTCTTGGCTGAAATTTTGTTCCGAATGGGCGGTAATGAACAAAATGACTATTCAAAAATTCTTAAATAATTAAAAATATTTCTTTTTTTCCATTTGTCTGTAAATCTGTTTGTCTGTATATTTATGGATGCTAATCTCAGAAACGATTTAATCGATTTGAATGCAATTTCCAATAATGTGTTGCGATTTGCTTCACTTAACATTTAGTGTTTGTTTTATTTCAATCGGTTCAAAAATGAAAAAAAGTTATATCAATCTAAAGAATCACATATAGAATGCTATAAAACGATAGTTGGTTGGATATTTATTACTCTTTCACTGTCAAAAACTACTTTAAACAGATTTGATACATGGGTAGATTATATCCTAACTTAATACATAGGATACTTTATGTATTTTTAATTTATGTACTCACGCGAGTAAAATCGCTGGACATAGCTACTTACATATTACGTATCTCTGTATTTAAGTAATAGAATATAAATGTATTGTTTTTGTGTTTTTGATAAACATTTTAATTTATCTAGTATGTATATTAATGTCGTAAATACTTAAAACTAACTGAACTTGTTTATTTGTTTGTCACCTCGCGACGCTTTAACGAGTCGACAAACAGTCATGAATTTTGATGTGCCTATAGTGATTGTGGTCGAGATGGGCGTAGGCCAATTTTTATCACGGTCAATTCAACATAATTCTCGGAAAATAGTTTTTTTTTTTTAAATAACATATAACCCACTACCGGCCCGTCCCGGCTTCGCACGGGTGGACATTTTTACAACATTCTAAAAAGTGGTTATTGTGACATAACGATAATAGTTGGACATATAGTATCGCCAAGTTTTTTGTAGTCATTGATATTTTCTTCAATATTGTAGAACATACTTTTGTTCTATCACCAATAGTTTCCGCAGCGCACGCGACCAAAGATATTTTATAGCATTTTTTTACACCTTGAGTTACGTTACTAGAGTTTTAGTAAATCCTTACTTTAAACCCTTATCTTTTCTAGCAATAAATATAGCCTATGTTATTCAGGGTGAATGTAGCTTCCTAACGGTGAAAGAATTTTTGAAATCGGCAAAGTAGTTTTTAAGTTTATTCATTACAAACATACATACACACAAAAATACAAATCTTTTCTCTTTATAATATTAGTGTAGATGTTACCAGGTAATAATGTAGTTTTCTATAAATAATGTACACACACAAAGTATTTTATTCATATTTCTTATTTTTTTTATACTATTATTTTTATTAAGGTATTTCGCGACTAGCTCTTGGCTACAACAGAATATCAGTGTTTTGCTCTTTTTAGGGCAAACCAATAAACTGAGTTGTGACCATTTTGTGTTACTATGGCACACTTATGAAAGAGGGAAATTGTTGTTTTTTTGTTGCTTTCTTTTGTTTTTCATTCTTTCATCTCTTTTACTGTGTGTATGTCTGTATTATGTGTATGTTTGTATTGTTATTTGTGTGCTGTAATGCAAATAAACTATCTATCTATCTATAGCGGAAAGTATTTTAAATCGAATAAGTGTTTTCTGCGTTTATCATTACGGACAGAAAATCATATGTTTCCTATTTATAACATTAATTTTAAAAACATACATATATACGTGAATCAAAAACTTTGTACCCGTTTTTACGAAAATTGCGCGGACGGAGGAGTATGAAATTTGGCACACTTACAGTTTATACAGAGAAAGAGTGCAGAATGATAATATATTTTTAAATTGTGCATAAAAAATACATTAAATCAATAAAAAAAAAATACACACACTACCATGTACTTTTTTTTGGTGGGTGAAAATGGAATGGTAACGCCGCCTGCGCTAACGGGATACGCTGGCGGAGCACCAGTGAAGGGTGATAGATGAGAATGAAAACAGGCCAGTTAGCACATCATGATGAATTCATCAGGAATTAACCACGATAGTTTCCAGGGGGAACCGCAAGGAGATCGACCTGGCTGGGTATATTGCTAGCAATGGGATTCTCAGTCTCCATCACTAATAATCCCTTTCCCCCCGCTACCATGTATTTGACACACACACACGCATATATACTCTTTTGTTTATAGTTAAAGTCTGTGGTCAAATTGAGAATACATTAATATTGTTTGTCTGTTAATATTATTTGTCTATAGTCTCACTGAATGTCAAACGTAACCATAATAAATACATTTATTACAATATAAGTTATGGTCGAGTTTCGACCACTGGCCGACCACTAGTACATGTTATAAACCAATTAAAATCTAAT